GCAGAAACAAACTCGGACTTTCTATAATTTCGCACGGCAGAGTCGGATCGACCCAAATTTTTTGCGATTGCGAGAAACGCACTGTATAATATTTAGTAAAGTATGTCTAGAAATTAAAAATATGCCTTCTAGAAGAAAACCAGAGTAGCTTTTGTTTGAGAAAGTGAAAGAAATTCTTTCTCTTTGAAACATAAACAATCTCCTCCATCAAAGTCTTCTTCGCATTTCAACAAGGCGTTCACGATTGTTTTCCTGGCAAAACATATGATCTTCATAAAACTTCAAAATATTCAGGAATTGAAAGGTGGCTTTTTTCAAAGGTAGTCAAAATAAATATTAGCAAACCAAGAATCATAATTCAGAATTTGCGTTGGCAAACTTTTCGATTACTGGCGATAAAAATGGGTCAAGTTAGCTGATAACTTTGAAACAAGATAATAGTTTGGCGCTAGAATCAAGTCTCAAATCTTATAACAAGCTAAAGGCCTTAAATGCCTTTCTCAATGTACCTTTTCAAAAACTGATTTAAAAATTGGTTTTTATTCTGTAAATCTGTAAATTTTCAATTCCGGGTTTCTCGATGAATAATTTGAAACCCTTTTTCTCGAAAGAAAATCCCAAAATAGACTCAAAGATATTGAGGAAACTTGTGACTGAAGAATCTAATTTGGGCAATAAAAATTGGAATATCTTTGGGAGAAAATATTAAGATGGATTTCATTCAAAAAGGGAATAATGGGAGTCTGGAAAAGAAGAGAAAAGAGAGAGAAAACAAGGGAAAATGGCGGAAATGTTTTATTTTGTCTCGATTACCCCTACACTTGAGCAAAAAAAAGACAGGGTGGGAAAATCGAAAGATTGGCTGATGGGAAGAGGATGGGAAAATGGGAAAACATTCTAGGAATATCAAAAAAAATAAAGAAAATTTTATATGGATTGTAGTAGGAATTTTATTGTGTTTTGGGTACCATGACAAGGAACCAAAAAGATTAAGAAACAGATAAAAAGATATGGTTTAATTACCCAAGTATGTATAAAAAGATACTTGTACTTGTGGTGCTGCTTAATTTGAAAAAATCCAGTTTCATGTTAAGTCCAAGACAGGATTGATGCAAATGTTCAATTAAAGAAAACGTCTTAAAATTCTCATTTTTGATAGGACTTACCTAGATTTTTTTCTATTTCTAGCTTCCTAACCAAAACAAATCCAAAAAATCTTCGTTGGCGAGGCTCACAAATTGGGGAGACACTTCTTTTCTCGTGGTGAAGAATCCCTAGAGGGGATTTCAATGAAGATCTTTTTATTCGTGGAAAAACGAAGACAAAGAGTAGAAGAAAAATCAATTAGTGGACAAAAATCTGGGGATTTCCCCATTTTTAAGAAAAAACCACTTTTATTGGAAATAAATTAAAGAACACTGGATTTGGGAAGGAGATAAGTTGAGAAATCGAAGATCGAAGTTCAAATTGTGTCTAAGAATCTGGGAACTATCATGCTATTTTATTTGAATTGCTTAAAATTAACTCAAAACTAACGGTTGGTTTGAGGACTGGCTGCATAATATTATAGAATATTATAAAAATGCATTTAATGCCGAGTTCGATGTTCATCACGTTTTTAAAATGGGCAAAGAGGGCAATTAGTAAAAGTCGGACAGTCTGCAAAAATCAACTGATACTAATAAAGATCAACTAATACTAATCATGTTTTCTGTAAGAAAAACTTTTTACGAATAACTTTTTATAGTAAAGGGTTGAACCGGCTGAAACTGCCCGAACTGTCCGACTGCCCGACTTTTACTAATTGCCAGCAAGGAGTCTAAAAAATGATTCTAACTGACTCGGGCTAGAATTCGGTAATTTAGACACAAAATTATATGATAAAGAAATGAGATAAAGATCACACGGATCGAATACAAATTTTCATTCTTATCACCCGATATTTTGAAACATTATCTTTTGATAAATTTGAAACATTACAAACATGTCTTTGAAACTTCACAAAGTCAACATATCTTACAAATAGGAATCAATTTTAAGCTTTTGAATTTCACAAAGAAAAACAGAGACCCTGAAGCTACCAATCACTCGAATGAAACCCAGTCAAATAATTTGAAATTGAAATTGAAAATATTTTATGCGTCAGATAAGGGAATGTCGGGCTTGAATCAAATGTGGCGTGTAGTTGAAAGCTCTCCAATGACTTGTTTATCGAACTTCTCAAACTTGGGTAATTAAACCATAGATAAAAAGCAATGAAAGGAAACAAAAAACAATGTTAAATCATTTAAGATTACTTTACAGACGGACAATTGGAACACAGTGAACAAAAGTGAGAAAATGAGCTGCTTTGCGATTTACGCCGCTGTCTTTATACCACGCATAACTGAATAACTTTTATTTACTGAAATGTTTGTCTACGGTAGTTTGAGCATTGAGGCTATGCATCTGCATTGAGGCTATGCATCTGCATTGAGGCTATGCATCTGCATTGACTTGGCGACATTTGTCACAGAAATCAAACATTTCCAAATCGGCAAAGTTTGTTTGCATTTTTCAAAAGTTGGCTAGACTTTTAACAAAATTACATATCATTCAATGAAATTCTCGACTTCAAAAGCAAGACAAAGCAAAAATAATTGGATCTCGATGAAAATGAAAGAAAAATCTCGCAACTCTTTCGTATCCTCCATTAATTAAAGGAAAACTTCAAAGGAGGAATCTTTCTTTTAAAAAAAGAGAAAAAGTTGAGAAGAATTGAGAGAAAAGGAAGTGAATTAGTCAAATTGCCCTTTGGAAATCAGGAGAAAAATGGCTGGAATTCATTTATAGAAAACTCTACGAGAAATTTCCCCAAAATATATTCGCCATCAAAAGTTTGGTTTCAAATGAGCGATTGCTTTTTGAAATAGAAATTCTCTAGTAAAAATTTGGGGCTTAAGAAACAATCTCAACCTGTCTTAAAAATTTCAAAAGATAAAATAAGAAGTAACAAAACTGATTCCAAGTGGTAGGACTAAAAATCTGGTAATCTAATTTTAGCCTCAATTAAAAGCCTCAAATGAAAATTACTAAATAAAACTGAATTTATTAGAAAAAAAACAAGGAACTTCCACACAAAAACGGGACGGAAATAAAATTAAATTCGGTGCGAGATTTATTTTCACTTTTCGACGGAAGTTCGGTTGGCTGAGAGGCTGAGAATTGTTGCTGCTTGGGTGGGTATCTCGAACTTTTCGGGAAGAGTTTTTCAAACATTTAAATTTTAAAAACGATTAAAAAGTCGTATCTAGTCTATGAAAATTCTGAAAGACTTACAGTTAGCAAAAGCTAGTTTCAAAGTTTACAATGTGCTTTAGAAAACCTTGCTCGTAATGAGCCGATCTGTGACGACAAATACTATCCAACCTTGACTTCATAATATTATTTGTTTCTTTCTTTCAATATAATTCGATTTGAATCAAAAATAGCTCAAAACTGTTCTTTTTGAAAAGATTTGATCTTTCGCGTCTAAATCTAATTTTAACGACGCAATGCTTTTGTGTCTAGAAAGGTGCAGATTTTGAGAAAAATGAGATTTTCAAATCGGATTCTTTCAAAAAAAGGAACGGATGAATGGGAAAGGAAAGATCAAAGAGCTCAGTGTCAGTGATGATTTTCGAGACAAAAAGGGTTGAGCCAGAGAGCCTTCAGAAAAAGACTCTATTTCAGAATTGGATATTTAAGGTAAGTTTCCAATGAAAAAGGGTACTGTATTCATTTGGTATATAATTGACTTTGACTGCTACATTTTTGCTTCTAAATTGCAAAATCACTTTATTCAATCAATTTCTTTTAAAGAACGGTAAAAAAGGATCACTGAATCTATACAAAAAAAATGAAAGGAAAAATCAAAAAAGTTTAGTAAATGAAAAACAAAGAAAACTAATACTTGGAATGCCTCTGAAATGAGTGTAAGTAAGATAAAAAAACGGAAAGAAATGGAGAAAATAAGTAGCTTTTTCAATAATTTTCGGAAGCTTTAACTGAAATCTGAACTTAAAATAAAACAAAGATTGAAAATGAAATAAAAACTTCGCAAAAGAAGAAATGTCTCACTCAAAAGCAGAAAAATTACACGTAATCTAGCAAAAAAAAAGTTAAAAATAAGAAAAATGGAAATAAATATTTGAAAAATTTAAGTTGAAAGGCCGATTTGTTTATTGAAAAAGGCACAAAGGCACCGGGGATAAATGAAAAAAGAAAAAAAAATGAAGAAGTAATGTAAAATCTCCCAGCTGTATATCTCGCTACAGTACTCTGGACAAAAAGTTTCCAGACTGAATATCCTTTATCTTTCTATCCCTGGCAACTTGTTTTCTGTGTGCCGCGCGCGTTTACGTCGAGCACAAAGTACATGGAAGATATTCAGTCTAGAATAGATTGAATCCCTCTTGACCAATATTATTTTCTAAAAGGCACTAGCGCTATGATTACGGTAGTTTCGAAAATAGGCACTTTTAGATATGGGCAACGCGTCATTTTAGCAAAAACAACTTACGTTTTCTAGAACGTGCATCCAGAAAAAATAGCGCGCTTTAGGAAAAACGAGCTGTTTGCTAAAGTGTGAAACTCGTTGACTAATCTAAAAGGCTCTAGAAACTACCGTAAAAAGTACTGCAATGAGATAATAGACTGGAAACTTACAATATATCTTTGCATCAAAAATAAATATACAAAAAGCTATCAAAATGGCAATTTTGTTTCTTGTCAAAACACTGAGCAGAGAGAAATTTGAGGAAAATTGGAGATGAAAAAGTTGTGGAGGCAGTGAGAATAGAGAAGGGAAATTGGAAAAGTTGGAAAGCTCAAAGATGGCTTCAATATTCACGTGACTTATTACTCAAGTATTTTCGTAAATTTAGCTTCCAGCTTTCCAACTTAAAAATGATTTCGATGTCGATGAAAACTTACTCTTTATAAATCAACAATCAGCTTTATCAGAAAAAAAACGAAAGCTACAAACAGCCGACGAATTCCCCGATTTTCACGGGATACTCCTGCACGACACGGTATTTCTTCGTTTCGTAGACCTGAAACTTGATGGATTTGCTGATTTTAAGATAACGGTGAGAAAATTTAATGCACTATTACTGTGATTGTATAAAAAATGACTCAACAACTTTAATAGCACTAGTTCGAAACTGATAAAAAGTTATAGAAACCCTCAGTACTTCATAAAGTCTTCAATACAACAATTATTGCTGGTTATTAGCTTGCTTGTTCCAAAGAGCCAGAAGCCATGGCTAGTCAGGCCATAAGCCATATTCATTTATGGCCGGGCTTAAAATTTTTGGTCTAGAAGTTATTAGCAAAGAAAAATAAGTGTATCTTTTCAATTCCATTGCTAGCTTACCTTGACTTTATTGCCCCTCGTGTACAACAGGGCGATATCTCCACCAGAATAGATGATTCCGATGAGATCACGGGGAAGATTCGGGAAATATCTGAATGATAATAATCGGGGTGATCCAGTGTGTCCTATGGCCTGTAAGCCAGACCACAATCCGACTAGTTATTAAAAGTTAGGCCTCTGGCGAACCCAGATACTTTTGTGGGTTAGAAGTACAGTAATGTAATGCTGGTGACCAGTTAGCTTTATACAAAGAACAATCTCAAACCTCTTGACATCTCCAGTAAAAGTGGCCAAATTCCAATAGGCATCATATATGGCGAATTGACGATCTTGGACAATCACCTGAAAATTGTATTGTGCTATTTTCTTGAATACTTTATACATGACAATTTAATGTTTTCATAGCGTAATGGCTTTGATTTGCATATCCGATATCGCCTTACCTGATTCCCATCAAACCACTCGAAAGCCAAATCGGGTGTGATTGTGATATTATATGAGAAATCCTGCGGAGAACGGTTTTTCGTCATCTAAAACAAATTGATATGATTACTAACCTGATAAAGATTAAAACGTTTCTTTCAATGAAAAGATCATGTTTCATTTTCCGCAATGACTCGAGCTATTTAATAATGTTAATACCTAGCCTTGTGCTTCTTTCACCAAAAAGTGTTTTTATGCTGTTATAGTTTTGGCAAATAATAAAAAGTGCATTGTTTTGTGACATAGCCCTTAAATCATAAAGCTAATGGCAAAGAATTGATATGAAGATAAACTATTCCAAAGTACAAGATAAAGTGATCAGGGTGAAGATGTACAGAACTATTTTTATATTTCTATTTTATATTTTATTTCATTTCCACCACTTACATGGAATCTCTTTGCTTTCTTGTTCCATCGGAATCGATAGGCTTTCCTTTTATCGAATAACGTGGTGACACCGGATCGAGAATTTGTGAGAACGGCCGTGACTTGACGAGGACCGCCCGGGAATAGCTCTTGCAATTCGAATGACGCCTGGAAATTTTCCAAGTTTTATAAATTTAAAACTAAAGTTATTGGCATGCAACCCTTGCGTTTGGAATTGTTTTTGCTATTTTGTTCATACCCCTGAAAATTTTGAAACATTGAGTAGTCCACTAAAGGAACTCTGACTTTGAACTGAGCACATGGCTGGCTTGGTCAGAGTTCCCTTAGCGCTAAAAATTTGTTCCTAAATACCTAAATAATTGTGACTTTTTATAATTTGTTTTCGAAATTTTAAAAACTCACCTTTTGCGGCAAATTGTTCTCATACCAAACTTGGTAGACTTTCGAGCCGGCAAAGGCGTACGTTCGTTGATTGTAGGCTAAAAGATTTCAAGTTCCTCAAGTGAAGTCAAATTCAAGATGTGTTTCAAGTTGAATCATTTCAAAAGCTCCACAAAGATTGATCTACGGCCTAACTATATTAATAGTTTACGAGACTTTTTCCACCTTTAGTAATAGCATCGAATTGTTTGGGGCAAGTGTCGATGCTCACCGCCACCGGTGGGTCCATTGGGCGTGGAACTGGAAAAAGAAAAGTTCATGTTTCAAAATTTCTCTTTTAAAGTTCAAAACAAGAATCGCCAGTAAAACCTTTAATTGACTTTTTTAATTCAAATTTTAGAGGAAAACATTTTGTTGATCAGGAATGGTTTTGATCAGGGCTGTTCCAAAAGCCAGAAGCTATGGCTAGCCAGACAAGACCAGGCCATGAGCCAGGCCGCATTGATTTATGGCCTGGCTTTGGCTTGAACTGGCCTGAAATTTTTGGTTTAGAAATAGCCCTGGTTTTCGTCCAGCCTAGTCCTTAAAGTTTTACACAAAATGCCCTCACCACTCGTCTTCTTTGGCAGCACGTGAGTGATTCGCCATGGTGTCAACAATAGATCACGGCGAGCCACCTTTTTCACTGAAATCAGGAAATTTGGATAAATGATCAACAGGGCTATTGAACTGAAGTTTGAATAAAGACTCTCTCATCACTCACAAAATCCCCTTTTCCCCGGTGGTCGTCGCCTCTCTTCGGGATTCTGTCCACTCTTTCTGATCAAATCCCATTTCTGATCGGAGTTCATTCGGGGGACAATTGGCGGGGAAACCTCGCCATCTTCGTTGATTTCCTGGAATTTCTGGTTTTGAAAAAAATGGGAGATTGAGTTTGGCTTTGTTTACCCGAAAATCCTCATTCCTCGAATCCCTTCCGATGATGGCGGCTTCGTGAAGGAAAAATATCGTCGTCAGTAGGAATATCGACACCCGTAGAAGCATTTCTGAAAGATTTTCCACATTTCTTGATAGTAACATTTTTTACCAATCGAAAACACAGAAATAAACACGTTAAAGCTCATACTGTGAAAATTTATGCATAAACTTTGAAACAAGGAAATTTACAGGAGATGCAAATTTATGCATAAACTTTGAAACAATGAAACTACGGTGGACAAGAGTGAAACTAGAGTGAAACTAAACTAGAGTGAAATCCGAGAGTTCGACTCACTTTTTCTGAAGAATTTTGATGAATTGATGGTAAACTTTAAGAATTTAGAAACATAAAGCTAAAAAAACTTTTTTGGCTGATTTCCAATGCTTTCCTCGACGAAGAAGAATGTTTTGTCTTGGTGCGGTGCCAAATGGGAAAAATTGAATATCAGAGGAGATTTTGGGTGTATCGAAAAAAAAATCAATGTCTAATAGTAAGCAAAGTGTGACTTTTTGGGACGATTAAGTATATGTAAAACAAAGTTGTGTATCGGTAAGTAAAGTGGACTATAAAAAGTTATCTATTGATTCTGGCAGAAATACTACCGGAACTGGAAAAACTCCTTTTAATATCTTTTTCAAAAGTTTTTATTGTGCTTAAAATTTCAAACAAAAGTTGCAAGTTGTTTTCTCAAAATCTGATTGAAAATTCCCATTATTTGTGTTATTCTTAGGACTTTCCAGCCATTTCCCTATGCTAATTTGTCGCGGTTTGTTCGTGCTCAGAGGTCCGCTTTAAATCCGCGCATTTCGGCGGTCAACCATGACCTGAACATGGGCCAAAAGAAACAGACAAACACAAGAATAAACAAAAGAGTCAAAAAGCAAAAGATGAGGGGGAAAAGCGGATTGCTTTTTGAAACACACAATGTTTATCGACTAATCATGCTGGGGTTTTCAAAAGAGCCCATTGATGTTAGAAAAAGTATGATATTGTCCACCTTAAAAAAGGCGAAAAGCTCTTATGTGCGACAGATTGTAGATCATATAATGTAGATAAATAAAGTGTTTAGCTAAAAATCTTAGTTTATATATTAACTCTAATATGACACTACGATGCCAGTCCTAGGTTTAGGCGAGTTGAAAGTTGTAAATTTTATGTCAAAAGTCTTATGGTGATGGTCCATATGGTGATGATGCCCATGAAGGCTCAGAAATTTCATGTATAGGGGTCATGAAATCGGGAAAAAGTGAAAACATACTAAAAATCTTAGGGATTTTGCTTGTGTATTGTTTGTAACACATTATTCATGTGAATAAATGTGCTCTAACTAGCGTCATATCATCAAATTTAATTACCAGAACTAAAATACAAAATACAATTCTATTCAACTATAAATCCTAAAAAAGAAATAAATTGATTTTACAAAACGATTTTTGGTCGCAAAGGATACAACAATGGCTTTTTGATCGGATGGTTAATCACCAAAAGTTAACAAAGCAAATGAATAAGGGGGAATATCGGGAACTTTTTACAAATAAGAGCTTGTAAAGCTTGGAGGATCGATAATTTTGTTAACGCACCACGTTATTAAAAGCTACTTGTTTTAGCTTTAATTACAACTTTGAAACATGCTCTTTAAAATTGCTGATTTGATCAAATTTTGATTAATTCAATCAATCAAACCAATTAAAAAAAACAAAAACAGTAAAGTGAAATGTTACGACATTTTTTAATTACTAATAGCTTCACTATGATTTGAATGTCGTTAAATTTGAAAGAATGACAAAGATTCTATGCAAAGCTAGTACTAATATAAAAGCATTCAGACATTAAAACTAATTCTCTTTAGTTTTTGATAAAAGGAAAGATATTCAATCTTAACGTTTGAATAATAATAATGTAGTGAAATAGGATACAACCCGTGCAAGTTCTGTAAGACTTAGAAAATACTACAGTCGTCTCGTAGTTAAGTAGATTGAAATGCAAATTTAAAGCTCGCACAGCTGTCTGTAAAGAAAATGGACAACGAGAAGAAAAGTGTGCCGTTTTTGCCTCAAAAAATCCTGCATCAAAATTTGTGTGCCATCTTCACTCCATTTTTGATTCTCTTTTTGCCCGATTCGTCATTCGTTTTGTGAGACATTTTAGGGTCTTTTTGTGGAAAAGAAAAGTTTAGGAAATGCGATTTTTTTTTGAAACAAGAGGAACAAGAGGTCGATGGGATTGTACGAATCTTCGAATAAAAGATAATTTTTAAAGCCTACTGTTCTATTTCTAGGGGTTGTAAGTTTTTGTCTAGTTTTCAAAAATTTGGATATAAATGAATTGATAGGCGTTAAAAAAGCTTCCAAAGATTGGTCTGGAAATTTCCGAAAGCACAATCAAGGCTCACCCAGACTAGCTACTGTACAGAAGCTCGAAAATCTCGTAACGAAGCAAAAATCTCGATGCAACGGATGCAGAAATTTTATCAGATTTTTCCCCCGGTGAACAGAACGTAATCCGGGTGGTGTTGCGAGACTGGAAAGGAGAAAAAGGAAAGCGGCAATTCTGCTTTGAAACCTATGATTTCTTAGCTTTTTCTCCTCACTTCTCTCCTCACAAATTCGGGGTTATCAAGGGGTTTGTATTTTTACGTTCCATCCTTTTCCAAGCCTCCTATCCAATCTTTTCCCTGCATCGCTTGTAAAGTATGAATCAAGATTTATCTGAATCGAAAAATGGCTGAAAGGTGGATAAAGTCTCGGGAAATTGATCCAAATGGTGCTGAATGTTGTGAAAATTTTGAGTTTCAAATGAAGCTGCGTGCTTTGAAAGTTTGCTTGACCAAAGAAAAGTACAAATTTTTGAGAAAGTTTCCCGTTTAGCTGTCAGCTTACCAACGGCTGTGCGACTGAGAAATTTCCAAAGCCAGTGTTTCAACTTTGTTAATGGTCCGTAACAACGGCTTAACCTTAGCACAACAGTATTTACACATCCGCGACGATACGGCCCACCGGTGGACCGTACGTGGATTTAGTACTTTTTTGGGACCGATTGGGTTGAAAATTTCATTCACGAGGGGATTTTTGAGCATGAGGAATTCGAATCCGTTATTAGTTTTTGAAGAAAACTGCTCCATTTTTGGATTTTTCATTCGGTTTAATTGCCCAAGTTTTTAGGGAGTTTGTGTTGACCGTATTGGCTCAGGAATTAAAGTTGCTCAAAAACTAATAACGGATTCAGATTCTCCATCCCAGAATGCCTCCGGTTAAAAATTTTCAGGTCTACAGCTAACATAGATAGCTGTCGTCCGAAACAGTAGCCAAGCCGACAATGACTTTATCGTAATTATGTGAAGTACCTTACAATTAGATTTCAAACAGTATCAAAAAGTTGTAGCTTTTTAAATTTTTGCAAGATTAGAATTACCGTTTGGGTGGATCCAGGTATCGAAAGTGTCAAAATTTAGACACAGAAAAGGCAAGTCTTATTTTCTATTGTTTTCTATTGTTAGCCGTATCATGGGAAGCAGAAATCTCAAAAAGTCAAAAAAGCCAAAAAAGGAATCAAAAATGAAAATCTCTCGAGAAAGCGCTGGATTGTAGTGTCGAGACAAGAAAAATCATCAAATGAATATTCCCGATCGCTCAGAGCTGCCCCCATTTTTTTTCCTTTTCTTTCTGAATAATAACATTCTCGTCCATTCCCTCCCGTTCGGTGGCATTTAGCATCCGCTTTTTTTTCTGTTTTTTTCTTTGACTGTAAAAGCCCATAATTCTTTCTTTTTTTCAGAGCTGACTATTCATCTTCTATCAGTTCTCGATCGTTTTTATGCAAAAAAAATTTTGGGCTTTCCACGAAATTCTCTTGTTTTGGTGTCAAAATTTCGATAACAAAATTTGAAAGAACAATTTTTGGGACTTGCAATGATTTCCGAAAAAAGTGTGTAAATTTGTGGCCAGTCACTGTACGTTTTCGATTGCTTTACGTTTAAAAAAGAAATTAGAAGAGGAAATTTGGTTTCAACATTTAATCGTTTGATCGTTTAGTGAGACTTTTGTTTATAGCCAAACCAGGAAACAAGGGAATAAGAAAACAAGTGTTTTTGAACTAAAGCCAATCATTTGCCATCAACGGGGAGTATGTTGAGACATTAGCTTTTACGTTTTTCTGAAGCTTTAAAATGAAAAGGTAAAAGAGCAGAGTAAAAAAATTACACTTTACTGATTGATAGTAGAAGGAAAATAAATAGAAAAGTAAACTTACACACCACATTTTGTGTTGTTATGCAAATTTCAAATGTGTTTAGAGAGGTTGGTTTTGGTGAAGCAAATGCATAACTAGTGAAAGAAAGAGTGATTTTTACAATCTTACTTCTTATAAGAGGCAAAGTTTGTGTGTGGTGTCTGTCCGTTCACTTCATAACTCGACTCCCAGTGGGAATTTCGGCCTGATTTTTTGGGACAATGTGTAATCGACCTCGGGGATTTGGCTTGTCAAATCAACATTCAAAAATCTCTAACCGTTTTTGAGCAAAATTGGAAAAATCTAATTTGGCGGCGAGATTAAAGGTCGCCTAGGGGTACTTTAAAAAAATGAATTTTGGGTTCATTTTCTTAGAATATGTTGGAGAAATATCTTTTAGCACTAGAAACATTTTGAAAAACTTTTGTATTTTAAGAAAGCGGCGAAGGCGGAAAAGTTTAAAGAAAAGGATCGAAAGTGACGGTCAAAGGAATTTCGGGTAAACGGGAAAATTTGTCCCTTAAAACCAGTTTAGTTATTGAAATTCATATTTAGTAGTAAATTAGTAAACTGTAGTAAATTCATCAACAATTAATAACTTAAGTTTGATTTATGTAAACTATACATCGGCCCAAATCAGTTGGCTGTTAGCCCCTCGCTTCAGCCGAGGGTGAACTACTGATAAGTTTCAATGAGAAGAATTGCCTAAAATCGTAAGAAAAATAAAATTTAGTGTGTGGGAGTGACATCCGTAGTTGTAGATAGTGGCAATTGAAGTTATTCATTGAAAGCATGATACAAAAGCCACCGAAGGTGTAGTGGTAAGTTACGGTAAGTGAATTACCATCAAATTTTCGGTAAGTAAATAACAGTAAGTTTTGAGTTGTGGAATATAACTGGAGCATCGCTAATACTGTATTAAGAGTATCAAAATCCACTAATTGATTCCAGACTTGAAGGCTGTTTAACAAGAAAGAGAAAGACTTAAACAAAAGAGACGCCAAAATCCCCCTGAAGGCTGAAAGGGTTGAAAGGGGACGGAAAAGTGATAAAGAGGGGGAACGGTGCAGTGTTCGTCGTGTTGCCTAATGATTATGGAAAGCAAACATTCGGTGGAAAAGACAAGGGAAAGACAAGAATGAAGAAGAGAAGAGGAGATCACCCAAAGAGGGACAACCTCTTCTTCACTGATTTTATTCCTTTTTGTCTTTTGTGCTTTCTTGAGGGCACTTCAGTCACCCCACACAAAGCACCGACGACACCTTTTGATGATGAGAGGAGGGCAAAAGGGAAAAGATTAGCCAAAGATCTCTGCAAGGAAGAGAAACTGTCTACATGATTGTGGAGGATGTGGCTTAAGACTTGGACACAAGTAAATGATACTGTCCGCTGGGAAATCGATCTGGGAATTGGCTTTGAATTAGGTTTGGTTTCAAGCTTTTGAACTGGTTACTTTGTAAGCTAAAAACAAGTGATGCTTAGAGATATTTTGAGATCTCTGAAGAAAAATCCCATGCAGATGTTCAGCTGTGGGTTGAGATTGAACACAGGACTGTAGACAGCTGACTGAAACACAATTGTTTAGAAAATTCTTGATCCTCTTCTTCATTAGTTGGTGTCTTTAAACTAAGAACGCTTGAAGCTTTGCAAGTTAACGTTAAAAGTTAATGCAACTCAATCGATCAGACAAACACGTTAATGCGATTAACCTGAGCTGATCCTAGAGTCAGGCTGTTAAATTTGAAACTAAGATTTTTTAAACTCGACTCTGCTTAATTTTAAATTCTTTTGAGACTTGAACAATCAGTCTTTCAAATTTAACAAGCTCAAACAGTACATTAATGCTTTGTGAAACACGAAACATGAAACACGAACAGTGAAAAGCCATTCCAATGAAATTTCAGATGTGAAATGGAAAACTGTAACAGTACACAGAATCCATGATGGATCAATTAGATGTTAGAAAAAACGCTCAATCGCTTCCTGGTGCAAAATTTAAACAAGAAAAGTGGGTTGAAGCTTGAAGAACAAAAAGAACAAAAAGAAAAGGCGGGAATGATGTGCAAATTGACCCTTCCGTTTTCCCATATAATCGCCGATCGGTAAACCCCTTCTGAAGAAGGAAAAAGAAGCGGAAAAACGGGAGAAATCGCTGGGAATTCTTTTGGAAGAAAAATTGGGAGAAGCAACCCGAAAAATTGGGAAATCATAACGAATGAGATAATCTGTTGGAAAAGGAAATTTGGGAAGAATCGCTTCTTTTTTTTCTCCTGAAAGCTCTTGGTTTGTTTTCATTTCTTCTAGAAGCCTGAAACATTTAGAATGGACTAATTGATTGGGCAAGTTATGAATGGGTGAGATCATTGGTGAGAAGTTTTTGAAAATAAGCCCATTAGAGACTGGGTTCTTTATTCAATATTCATGATTTTGAAACATGAAAATGAATTCGATCAATGGTAGAAATAATCGAAAATGCAAAGTTTTAAGAAGAATAATGCATTGACTATTTGAAAATTGAAAATTGAAAATGAAAACAGAACTTTGCCGACAATTGAGATTTGAAAAACACTACAAGAGTCAAAAAAGTCAACAACTTTACAGAATGTATTAAACTTTTTGAATGACCTTAAAATAATCCCACAAAAAAGCGCATTGGATACCTAACAGGATAGTGTTCATTAAATAGCCTTTTTCTAATTTTTTCTCAATTTCCCGGGTCTACCAATAATCAGAGTGTTTACGATGAAAGGACCCCGTCTTTGATGGGATTTTCAATGATGGAAAGGGGCAAAAAGAGAGAATTTCTGAGAAAATTTCGATAAGGAAAATGTTGCAAAAGGGTACATTTTTACAACCGCAAATAGTGGAAAGAGCTTTAGGAAATTGGCTTTACGAAATTTTTGAAACGTTCTGCGGAAAAATGAGAACACAAATAAGGGAAATTGCGCAACTTTTCTCGGCACAGCTGTAAAAGTTGTAAACCAAAAATTTGCGACTTCTAGTGCTTTTTTGAAAAATTCTTGTTACGTACTATTTCTAAAACGTATTAACACTTAAAAACTACCGTAATCCTGCTTCTAGTTTTATCCAATCCATCTACTTTTCGTATCTTTCGATTTACTGTGAACTTTTAGGGCAAAAGTAGATTGATTGGATAAAACTAGAAGCAGGATTACGTAGTGGGGAAGTTGACACGCTTTAGAAAACGGATTACTCGAGGAAACATTCAAGTTCTGTTATTTATGATTACTTTGAAGGATTCTAAAAGCATTGTTCATCAATTTATTGACTTCACCATGAACAATTTGAAACAAAGACATCATTTCTGAAATAATATACAAAATTATACCGATGAAACAAAAGGTGGATAGATACCATCGCGTTTTAAACAAAATTAACCAATTTAAAAGAGTTACTAAAATCACTAATTGGCTAGACTAGGTACTAAGTGGTCGGCAATCGCTTCTCGACAAACAGAGAAAATTGTCTTTTTCGTCAGGAGAGATGGGACAGTTTTGACCCATCGCGTTTTTTTGGTGGAAAAAGAAATACACTCAAAAAAGCTCGTCTCTTTGATGTGAACCGATTGGGGAGAAAGTTTTCGGGGCTTTTGAATGAATGAGTTGATCAAACGAGACCACCCGCAGTGGTTTGCCGGTGTTGTTTGATTTTGGGGAAAAAATGAAAAAGGAAATCAACTTTTTCGAGAGTTAGAAACAATTTAAGACTTTATAATGAGCAAAGAGCACTCTTAAAATTGAGATCTAAACAGAGAGAAATGACTGGAAAGGGAAATTTGCATGTGCGAGCCTGTAATTTGCATTTATGATGGTAATACATAGCGATTTAATACAGCCCAAATATCTTTTATTTTTCTTTCTACTCTATATTTAGCTGCTTTTATTTATGCCTGGGAAATCTCTTATCATCCATGTGAGTTTTTTATCATTTTTACATTGCATAGCACTCTTTATAATGTTTTATAATCTTTATAATCATGGTTCTTTATAATCCTGTAAATTGTTACTTGTGAGCTAAAGTTTAGCTTTTGCTTTGCATTTGCATTAAAATTCTATAAAATGAGCAAAGAGCAAAAATTGAGATCTAAACAAAGAGAGATGACTGGAAAAGGAAATTTGCATGTGCTAGGAAATTCTATAAAGAACAAATTTTCGCTACTAGCCTCTGCTTTTCTAACTGCTTAAGCTATAAATGATTTCTAATTTTATTTTTTAGTTGTCTGAAGGGGAAAAAGTCGAACAATGGACGGTGATGAAGAAACTCGGCGAGGGCGCGTGCGGAGCCGTTTTCTTGGTATTTTTTAAAATTTATATAGAACTTTGCATTTGTTTGACCTAATCAAGTTTGATATTGGCAAAATTCCAAATTTATTTGTTATTTTAGGTGAAAGACGAGAAAAACGGCATTGAGGGAGCGTTGAAAGGCGAGAATATTGGGGAGAAAATGCCGGTATGAATTGTTTTTATTATTTTAGACTTCTTCGAGACACTAAAAGAAAATTGCGCTTATTTTGATGTTAATGGTGGTTAGTTTAGTAGAACAGCCTTGCACATACTTTTAAATCATCATTGAGTTTAAAGTTCTTTATCCAATTATTTACTTTTTGAGCTTCTTCGGATGGAAGCGCTTGTGTTGATGGAGCTTGCCAAGGGACGCGCTCGACATGTTGTCGAATTGCTTGATAAAGTTTGGGATCAATTTTGACGGCTTTTTAGCATTAGCTCTATACTGTAATCAAATCCGTTCTTTGCTTATAAGTACGTATTCTTATTTTAGGGAAAACACGATAATTTCAACTTCATCGTGATGAAATTGGTTGGCAAGAGTCTGCAGGATATGAAGAAAACTGGACCCGATCAACATCTTTCACTTGGTATTTTTACTCATCAATTTGAGGAAATTTGTTTTCCTAGGACCAGCCATATCTGTATCAATCCAATGCCTCGAAGCACTTGAGGATCTTCATATGGTCGGATATCTTCACAGGTTTCTAAAGCTTTTTAAATCTTATATTACACTTTTTAAAAGCTTTCTTTTAAAATTCTTTTAGGGACGTAAAGCCTGGAAACTTTTGTGTGGGTCGAGCCGAATTGAAGGAGTTTAGGAAGATCTACATTCTCGATTTTGGGATGTCAAGAAAATACACCAGCAATGATGGAGCTATCAGAAAGCCGCGAAGTGCTGCTCAGGTGAGCGAATTGGGGTTTTACTACATTTTTTGCCTTCTGTGATAGCCCCTGTTGTTTTTTTAAACTATCTAGCTAATACGTTCCTAAACTTTTCTTTTTTTCAGTTCCGCGGCACTCCTCGATACGCCCCAATTGCTAGCCACGATAGCAGAGATCATTCGAGGAAAGAGGATCTTGGTGAGCAACTTTTGCCTTAGAATAAAAAGTGAGTTGGTTTTAGAAAGCTGGTTCTACATGTTGATCGACTTCAGCAACGCAAGCCTTCCTTGGAAGGGACTCAATGAGATTGCTGAGGTCATTTTTAACAGATCTTTAAACTTATAAGGAATAAAGCGTCCAATGTTTCTTATTTAGGTGGGCGAAGGAAAAAAGAGAGCTCGGAAGGAGTTGCCGCGTTTCTTCGAGGGATGTCCGAAAAAGGAATACAAAGATATTCTCATGATTATCGACAATCTTCAGGTGAAAATTTGAAATTTGGTAATTAACTTTTTCGGTTTAGTACTATGATGTGCCGCCTTATCAGAAAATCTACGACATTCTCCGCAAATGTATTATCGATCACAAGGTTGGGCTTTAGTTCGATGAAGTTATGAAGCTTTTTGATAGTCCAAGCGTAGATTGGAGATAGTGTACATTGTTTTTTAGCTTCCCGAGTTCCCATACGATTGGGAGACCAGCGTGATACCGCCGAAGAGTCAGGTAAATTTGTTATGTGCAATCAAGCTAAAACCTATCTTTAGATTGATTTTTAGCGTTGATTAATACAGTTAGTCAATATGTTTTTGATCTTTGTGAGGCCAACATTATTATCTTTTTTGCTTTCAGGAAAAGGGATCGATCGTGAAGGGATGGGAAAGGCCTCGTCCATCGTTTATGGATCCATCCGTGCCCGAAAACTGAGCGAAAACGTGGTTCTTTGCAAATGAGGACTTCAAAGAATCAACATCAAAAAGATTTTGGTGTTGATTTGTATTGTGTATTTGAATTTCGATGATTTAATAAAGAGTTTCTTCGACTATTAAGGAGGTGAGATGCAATTTTATTTGTTGAAGTGTACTTTGTAAACTGGAGTGGAGAGGGAATTTGGATTTGTAATGTTACAACGAGGGTTAATGTAGCCTAGCTAACCATGTTCTAGATTACGGTAGCTTTTGTAACTTTGTAAAATGCACTAATCAAGCTAAACACAGTTTATAGTCAAAACGAGATTTTACGGCGAAACAGGTCACCATTGAGCTTTCAAACGATCAAAATACTCAGAAATGGAGATCTCTTTGACAATCTCGTCCCCGAAAACGTTCTTCAATTTGACGCTCCTGTAAAATTTCTGCACTCACTTTCAATTTTAATATTAAACCTCGATGATGGAGAGATTGGAATGATTGTCGTCGAGCTTTTACGGGGAAATTTCAGCATGACTTTTCTAGTGATTTGTTGGATTTTCTTGCGGAGTAACTCGTGTCGAGCTAGCACAACAATTGGCATTGATAACTCGAGGAGGAAACTAATCTGAAGTTTTATGTTATTTAGAAATAGGCAAAGCTGTTTAACTATTTGAATTTTACTTGGTCTGCCAAGAATTTCTAAATGCAAGCAGAACTTACCGTAGTTCCAATAATGTAGAACACAAAATATCCGTCGATTCGCTTGCAATACCAAGGATCGAAATAGCTGTCGATTTGGGCGACTCCGTACCAAATCATATCGTTTATTGTGATCAGATTATCAAGAAAAAGAATCGGTAATAGAAGGTAGACAGCTAGAAATTTTTATATCAGATTTTGCGACTTTTTCCAGGTCAATTTTAAAAATTCTCAATATCTCATCGGGTATAGCAGATTTAATGTCTGTTTGGTATTTTAAAAATTACCTTTCACATTCTCGGCCAACTGGTATCTCATTGAGAGATTCGAGAAATTCGCATGTGAACACTTTCGAATGAAATAACGATTGATTAGGTAAAGGATGATTAGAGACTGCAATTGAGGCGGTTTCAAAAAACTTTTATCTAGGCAAACCAAGATATTGAACACCGAGAAAAAGACGAGACTTTGATCGACGATCTCCGAAAATTTCTCATCGTTTACTGAAATGGAACCAGGTTCATTTGCTATCTTATCACCACTTACCGTATTGAAAAGCCATAGCACAGGCGAATAAGACCTGCAATTTTGAGGGTTTTAGTCGAATTTGAAGCTTGACTTGGCGATAAAACAAACAAATTAACTGTTTCTTTTTAAAGCTAGGTAATTTTTACAGACGATGGTGTGCCAGACTGCGTGCGTTTGCTAGAGCATAAAGTGCGAATTGGACTTACATATTAGACAGTTTTTTGTTCAATAGTATCCCCCAGAACACCAATCACTTACACATATCGGAAAGGTGACAAGAAAGAAAGCCCAATGTCGTTGTCGTTCGTAACTTCGGAACAAAATCGTGGCCACAATCCTTTCCACAGTACAATAAGTGCCCAATGGAGTGATGAGAAAATAGGTGAAATCGGTGATTGCACAGAGAGTATTCGAGAGACGGGAATTCTCATTGATGACCGAGGAGAGTTTATACGGTAAATAGATGGCATCACAAGCGATGTAGATGGAGAGGAATAAGAGAAATAGTATGCTAAATAATGGGTTGTTCAAAGATTGGTTTTACCAATTCCGGTTTGAATTGCGAGTTCCAAAGATCTTGAGTTTCAATTTTATCGGGGAGTAGCTACGAAATAAAGGGCAGTGCAATGAGAGCCTGAGCTTAACGAAAATTTGAACTTATCTATTTTGAGTTACATATTATAATTTTTCGATCTCATTACCACACAATAAAAAGCTTCAATGTAAACAATCATAATCAAATATTTTTGCATCCAACATTTACCAGATAATTGCAGCTTTAGCCGTGAGATTAGGCACAAAATAATTCATTTTTCTGTACAGATTTTGAAACGTGAATTTCTTTAAAAAACAGCATTATCAAAAACAAGTTGATTCCTTTTTAAAAGAACTGCTTTCTTAAATTTTCTTACACAAATACACAAATAAGTTTCTTATGGAAAACCAAATAAACCCAAGACAAGACAAGACAAACGAAAGACAGATTATCAGCTTTATTTCGTTATTACTCCTCAATGAAACTGAAACGCACTGAATTTTCTTATTTTTCAACGGAAATATGAAAAGGAACGAAATTGTATTAACTTTTAACTAATTTTACATTATTAGATTGAAATCAATATTTAGGTACCTGAAAAACGGATGAAAAGCCCGTCGCAGACTCACTATTAACAATAAAAGAATAACAAAGAAAATAATCGGAAATACGTAGATCCCGGCGGTAAAATAATTGATAAAATCCGCCCAAACATTGCAAATATTCGCCTCCTTTGTCCCATTGTTGAACATCTAAAGATGGAAGGTTGGATTTGCAAAAAAACGCACAAATCGAGTTGGGCTTGTCATGTTTCAAGGTCTTAAATATTTGTGATGCCGTAAATGTTTTGGTTTTCAAAAAATTATTGCTTTTAAAGCTCTTTTTTGACAAAAATATCAATTAGGCGTCAAAGTGTTAATTTGAAGTCTGAAATGAAAAAAAAAACTCTGAACAACTGAGACGTCTGGATCGCTAGAACTTTTGTAGTGAAGTAAAAAAAAATGCTTGAAAAGGATTAGAAAGAAATAAGCTACAAAAAGTGGATACATCTCGTGTGTAGGGGTGAGTGGATTGAGTGAAATCAAATTTCATTGTAGGAAGTTTGGAGAAAAGGCTTGGGAACTGGTTGGGAAAAATTTTCGTTTCAAATTACAGTAGGTGACTGGTTTAAGAATTGCAAATTTACCGGAAAAAGTCTAATAGAAGCATAACTTTCATTTTATTTCGCGTACCTTGTTACTTGTAAAAACTGCTTGCAAAAATATGTATTTTAGGAAGCTACTTAGCTATTGAGCCATTCATTTGTCCTGTTAAATTTGAAACATTAAAACCAAAGGTGATTCAAAAATCTGAATTACCATTGACCCCTTATTGCTCGTTAACTGGAATTTGACAAAGATTAACAACTGTAACCTTAGAAACACCACTAAACTTAAAACCAGGAGCCTCAATTTGCTATTGCTAAGCTGACAACGAAACGAATCCCCCTCGTTAATTAATGACATTACTATCAATCTGACTCACTAAATTTGAGACGTCAGTTTTGAAACAATATAATTTTAAAGTTTGATTACAAAAGGCACAGAATTTGTAACTAATGCTGGTGTTTTCCAATTTTTTTCTTGTTCAATCTTTATGTTTCACTTTTATAGACCAACCAATCAATTTTATAGTTGTGTGAAAATTAGTTGTGTAGCATTTGTGTGAAAATTTTAATCAGTGGTTAGCTTAGATGAATTCAAAAGACGAAAATGTTTTTAGCAAACAATAATTAATCGTTTCATTTCCACGAATTATTCATTGAACTAACAATTGGACACTTAAAATCCTAAGCTTTTGTAGCTTTAAAAGCATCCGATTACTTAAAACTCTACCTCTTGGCCACTTGCTAAAGGACATTTATTTTAGAAATTAGAAATTAGAATTTTAGAAAATAACCGTAAGTTTCCATTCGATTCGAATTTTGGTGTCATTCAATGAGGTCAAACAGATCAGACAAAGCTCAGTCAATGCTCCAAAACTCCAATCAAAACTGGCGGTTCGATCTAAATTCGGTACCATTTAGAAACGGATTAAGAATCAGATCTTTCAACTACCCTTCACTCCTTTAGCCTCTTCCCGATGCTTGGTCATTACTCAATGTTTACTCATTCAAACCCCATCCAAGAAAAAGAAAAGAGAAAAGAGATCCGAGTGAGTTCTAAGAAGTTCTTTATTTGGGAGGACACTTCTAGAGGGTTCCAAAAACACAGAAGGAAGAAAAGAATCTCAGTTGAAGAAAAGAAAAGAAAGAAAAGGAGCAAAACTCATTAGGCTGAGACTGAGAGTGCCCCGTACCGCCTAGATGGATAGAATTGACAAAAAAGGAGATTGAGAAGAGAAAAGAGAAGAAAATAAATGGAAGGGGAATTTCAGCACTCGGTGAGAGGTCGCTCACTGATGTAGTACACTGATTTCGGGGTGGGGCACCCCAAGAATTGACACTTCAAGAAGTTATCATTTTTTTGAAAATTTGTTTTGGTTTTATTCGATTCCTTATTTTGACAGATTTTAAATTTACAGTTTCAACTATTTTCGTAGTTTTTTGTACTTTTGTATTGCGTTGGGTAAACTAAACTAACTAAACTAAGGTAAACTAAAACAAGGCATGGTCTGCCATGGAAAAAAAATCAGTGTGCCAGGTGTGCGTTCACAACTAGACGCTAGCTGTCATGGTGTACTTGGTTCCCCAAATGTAAACGTCTCCTTTCTGGCACACTAAGCTTTTGACACCAATGTCGTGAGAAAAATGAAGGATCCCGTGTGCCAAAAAGCGTGTGTTTATATTTTTGCACAAAGTACACACGGTGAACAAATGAGTAAGCACTAAAATCAACGTTTTTTCAAATTTTTCTTGATAAAAACAGCTCTTGTGATTGAATTTCTCAATAAATTAGATGCTTATTTGTTATTTTAAAATAAAAAGTGCTACAAGAAAATTGAAAATTGAAAATTTTCTTCCAAAAAACACGTTCCCCTGGAATCATTCCAAACAGAATTTCGTCCCGTTTCGTAGTGAAGAAATGCAATTTTTTTTTCTGGATTCTACAAAATTTTCTCGCAATTTCACACTAGAGCCACAGCTTTTCTTCTTTTTCTTCTTTTTACTTCAAACACATTGTCCTTTTGGAATCAACAATCACTGAACTCTTTCCCCTTTCCTCTTTCAACTTTTCTTTCTTCTCAAAAAATCCCTGCAATTCTCGCTTTTTGCTTGTGAGTAATTTTCGTGGCTCTCCTTTTTGTGAAAATTGCTCTTCTTTTTTGCGTGTCTTAAAGGAGATTTTTGCGATCCAACAATAAACGAAACGTCACCTGAACATCTGAACTTTTTGAGAGTTTATTAGTTTGCTATTGGCATGTTCTCAATATTGAGTTCGGTACCATATTTAGGTACCTTTTTGGGCGTAGTTTCTTTGCATTGTTTCGTCGTAATGCCAATTTTTAGTTTCTTTGGACAATTTCAAAGCTGCTCAATTGGTTTGAGTATTGCTTGTATCCATTAGAGCTCTAGCCTGCAAATTTTGATTATGGAAAAGCTTATGAATAAGTATTTGCAATTTCAGGCTAAAAGTTGTGGATAAGTATGGAAAAAGTTCAAGGCTTAAGGTGCTATTTGAAAAAAAACTAAAACAATAAATTTTGTGCTCTCATTGTTTTTGATGAAACTTGTCACTTTGTCACTGTCACTAAGGGTAGAGGTCGATTCAAATCAAGGCCTGAAAGCTCTTATGCTCCAGTTCTCATCTTGTTCTTGCATAAAATTAACATTTAAAATGATAAATAGCAAAAACGAAAGGGAAATGCTGATTTCCTTGTTTAAAGCTGACACTATTATCAAAGAAAAACGGTAGAATTAATAGTTCGTACTTTGTCGAAACGCTGATAATTTTGAAACACGGGGCTTCAGTTTGTTCGTTTGCTGTCAATATTGAATTTGGTCCAAAGTTAAAGCTAAGAAAAAGATTTTAAAGGTAAAGGTTGCCTATTTTTATCCAAAGTCAGTTGTTTATCTCAAGTTTTCTAGTAAAACATAACTTTTTGCATCGAATCCGTATTCTTCGCCATTTCTTCTTTTTCCCTACAAGAGTTCTCCTCTTTTCCCCTCCTTTTCCTTTTTTCGCACATCCGATTGCTTTCCCCTTTCCTTTCCTCTAATCAGCCTAATTCTATCCACATCTACACGCCAATTTTGAATTGCTTTACGAGTTTCAACTTTTGTGAATATCCTAGAGAGTTTTTGACTTCAATTTATTCGCTTATCTTAATCTAAATTTGTTTATTTCTAGTACAAAAGCGTCAAGTTGTGTTTCTTTTGGTTTGGACAAAAGCATGGGCGCCTCGACGTCCACGATTCAAAATGAACGAAAAGAAAAGGTTTGTTAAAAATTAAAAACACATTGAAAAGTAATCAAGCAAAAAGAATTACACATAAAAAGTTGGATTCAAAAAGTAAAATTGGTTTTTTGAAAATGACATATGCCGGGGTACAGTCCGAAAACTTTAAGGAAAAAAAAATTTGTACTCACAATTTTTTTTGAAACCCTGTTTTTTGAGCTTGTACAAAAGTTTCAATTTTCTTCAATATCAATCAAAAAGGCTTAATCACTGTGATTAAAAAATAGTTTTTGAGAAAAAGGGCTTTTTACTGAATCAAAAATCAACAAAAAATTCTGATTTCAAAAGAAATGCTCTAAAAAATTACTTGAATTGCAGTTGAATATTGAAATTTTTTCAAAAAGCTAAAATTTTAGGTAGAGAAGCTCTTTCGGCAGAACAAACGTTCGAATCGGAGTCGAAGTTTGGATTCGAGGTTCAATCAGAAACTTTAACCAAAGAAACGTTTTAAAAATTAGTTAGGCCATGTTTCACCTTCAGCGAGTTCTAACGGTTTAAATTTCACTTTGGTTCACTTTGGTTCACTTTGGTTATGCTTTTCGTATAGCTTGTACAAATTTTAGATCAGAAAAAGCGATTCGACCGATCGGTTCCTCTCAATCGGCCCGATACCCAAAGCAAAGGGGAGCACCGAATCAACGGAGAGATTCGGGTAAACTTTTTACTTTCAAAAAAATATTTAGAAATTTGGATGTAAAGTCAGTAAAGTGGATCAAATAAAAAATAAAAGCTTAAATAAAAAGTAAAGTGAATCAAAGCTTACAAGCTTTGAGCAAGAAAATTGATTATGAGAGAATTCGAACCCAAGCCAAAAAAACTTCATAGGTTCCGTAGACTATAACACTATCCGCTAGACCAGAGAGGCCGTTCGTAATATTCCTTGTGGCGACCCCATAAAGAGTCCGAAATTTAAGCGAACTTTCTATGCCAGATTCCTCGCGCCTCCGTGCGATTCCGCAGCTAATTCTTGCAGATTCGGAATCAGCATGCCCGATTGTATAATCGAATGCTCGAATGCTCGAATCATGCTCGAATCGAATCTCAACTTTGTGTTGAGACCATTTCCTTGTTAGTGGTTTTGGAGTTTTTCGAATACCAAACCACGCAGCCATTAAGTTTTTCTGGATGCTCAGAAAGGCCTCAAAAGTGAAACACTATTTTTGAAAAAAGCTGAACATAGAAAGAAAAAGATTAGAATCCAGCAGTTTCATTATAAGTAACTTGTAAAACTTATTCTCTATTTCTTTAGTTGCAACAATTAAATCAACCTTATGAGCTTGTTGCAGTGTTAGCAAAAGGAAACAAAACGAAAAGAAACAAAAATGCCGTACGCCTTGAAAATCTTGAAAGTGAAATTTTTTAGCTGGTGGCACAAGCTGTGGCTTGTCGATCGAGCAAAAACGCGCAATCGAGGTGTGTTGGTTCAAATTGTCGGAGAGACAGATCCGGAAATGTTCCGAGGATATTTTCCAGTCAATTCTACAAACGGACGAGGATTTACTGACAATGTTTCGATTGGTAAGGAGATAAGGAAAAATAAAGGATTTGGAAAAATAGTGACCAAATTTTTAGCATAAACAGAAAATTTCGAGTTTTCAACCTGTCATAGACAAGAAATGAAACGCTCAAGATCACCTGTCAGAGTGACCCGGGTTCGTGAGATTGATTTGATACTATTTCCCCCTCCGAACTTTATGAATACGGCGCACTCTCCTTTCAATGAACGTTCGATTCATGTTTCCATTTCCAAAAGTAATTAATTTGCAATTTTATGGGTTGTGGGAAGACTTTTTAGCAGAAATCATTGGAAATTTCATTTTTAATTGCACTCAGAAATGTAAACACAATCTTTTGTGCAAAAAAAAGAACTGATCTTTTTTGCAAGCCTCCATATACTAACATCTTAGGAGAGTGCGCCGTATTAATAAAGTTCGGAGGGGGGCACTTTGACTTGACCCGGCTAAATTCTATTTTACGCGTGTTTTTTCTGGTCTGGTTTTGCATTTTCTGGGGTAATCAAATATGCTTAATCTTTTGATAATTCTTTGAGAGTGTTTTGAATAGTTTTCACTTTGTATTTCACCCCTGGCCTCATTTCCTAGCGTTGCGAGACTGCAACAGTTATACTTACTAGCTCGACAAAACATTGTTATTGTTAGGAGTGATGCATTGTTAGGAGAGTGCGCAAAATAAAGCAATGTTTTCCGCGATTTGGCCGAATCATAGCTTAATTGAAACATGGTTTCTGGTTTCGGTACTAGACGTCTAGAGGTCTAGACGGTACTAGACGGTTATAGACGGAAAAGTCAAGTGACTCAATACGGTTCTACCCCAAAATTTACATTTTAATTCATAAACATAATCAATTGAACGCCTGAGGAAGCAGCAAAATGAAGAAATAAAAAACCATCGAAGAACTAGGAAAGCTGCCTAGCGGAGTTTATAGTTGAACGAATTGGAACGGGTTCGAGTTCGAGTTCTGAATGAGAAGTTGGACAAAACGATTTCTTCGAGTGGATCCATTTATCCTCCAATGATTATCCTTTCATCATGTGTTTTGTTTTGTTCATCGTGATTGAGTGTTAATGCAAATTTTGGGGTATAACCGTATAGTATCGTATTTCCATTACCTTTTTTGCAATACTTTCATATTTATTCCCGAATCGGTGGTGTTAAGTATCGGTTTTCGGATAATTTCTTCGCATTTGTGTATCCGACTTTCATCTGTTGGAGAATATAAAGGATCATTTGACACCAAGCTTCGCGCTCGAATAGCCACCTCCATCCAATTTTTCCTTGAAATGGGAGGAATGATAAGGATAGAAGTTTTCACCATGTTGTGAAGGATCAGGCCACTCATTAAAAGGCTTAGAGTAATAATCAATGGGAGCCATTCATTGCCATTCATCCATCGAAATCGAGTCATTTTCAGGATAATGTGCCCAAAGGAAAGATTCGCGACTCGGATTTCTTTAAAGCCCAAGCCGCCAACTTTGCGATCGTTTTGGGTCTCGTTGTGACGAATTTGCAAGAGAATGCCGATCAAGCTACAGAAGCGTTGAGGGTGAATCAAATAAGTTCGAACAAAATCCATGTTACCAAGAACATTTAGACATTGGGCGCTCAACATCTCAACTATAACTCGAGGGGTTTTCAAATGTATCTCTGGGATATTTTCACCGATTGCTTTGAGCAAAACTGCCCGACAACATTTAAGGTGAGAACGTCAGATTTATTGACCTTTTAACAAGATTGAGCGGAACTTTCAGATTTTTGACATTAAGAATAATGACTCTCAAGAGGCCAGAGGATAGGGCTAATTAAGGATTGGCTACTCTTTTGTCAGACGCTCAAGTTGAGACAAGAACTTTTAACCTTGTTAGGTAAATAGGAAATTTGATAACATTGCTCTTTTTGAGATTGTCTTGTAGACTCAATTGCGGGTAAATTTGAAAGGTTTTATTTGCACTAAATTCATCTAACAGCTTTTATACAAAATCAACTAACATTGGGAAAGATTAAATGATATGTTTGTTTTCAAAAGGCTTCAAAGTTGAAATAAAACTTTAAAACCCAAAACCATGGCGGTATTAACAACTAGTAGTGCTTATAAATTATTTAGAGTCGTTTCGAGCGCGAATCTTGGTGTCAAATGATCCTTTATATTCTCCAACAGATGAAAGTCGGATACACAAATGCGAAGAAATTATCCGAAAATCGATATTTAACACCACCGATTCGGGAATAAATATGAAAGTATTGCAAGAAAAAGTTAAAATTGCTAATTAAAGGCCAACTTTGACCGACGTGTAGGCTGAGTAGACGAATTTATTCCCGATAATTATTAAAGTATCGTCAAATTGATGAGAAGTGAGATATCTGGAGATAATAAATACCGTAAATACTGTAATAGTACCCCACCCCCATAATGACGGTGCGGAGTGTTGCGTAGTCTAGCTTTGAACGAGTTTTTCTCGACACTGGTTTACGCTAAAATGCGCGCTTAGGTATTAAAAAATAGCCCTGAATTTCAGCTATTTTTTGATACCAAAGACGCATTTTTTGAACGTACGGGCGCTTTGAAAAAAATGAAACACTAAAAAACTTTTGCGACTACGCGACTGTACGAGGGGGGTGGGGTACTATTACAGTATTTACGGTCGGTATTCTAAATCTAGAATCTTCAAATAATTTGCTTCCGAAGCCTGAAGGAGACTGTTTGGTTTCTTTTCGTAATTCGTTTCTTACTATATAAAAGTCAAGGTCATTTGACCTGTGCATATGAATTTTGAATTGATATCTAGAAAGAATTGATATCTGTTTGCTGAAAATTCTGGAAACAATCAAAGAAAGTTCCACCAATTGAATAACACAAGTGTAAGTTGTCTCAAATTTTGTTAACAGGGATGCTGTATCACTTTTATTCTCGAAAATAATACAAAAATTTTTGACAAGACTTGTAAAAATAAAAGTAATGAGATCCGAAGTGGGTGACAAATAATTTTACAACTCAAAACATTACATTTGTTGCCAAATATAATGTTTCAAAGCACTCAAGGTTTTAAGCAATCGCTAAGTAGCAATAAAGAAATCATATATTCCCATTCACTTGAATATTTTTTTCTTGCTGTTTTTTTAACCTTTCCAATTCGAGGAGCGCTATCTCATGTCTCAATTTTGCTGTTGACAGCTCTATTTGGGCCGTTTCTCGTTCAGCTTTTGTTTTCAGCAGCTTCTCAAGGAGAATCGTCTTCTCTATCGTTTTTGCATCCTCCACGTTATCGATTTCTGAAACGAAAAAGAATAAATACTAAAGTTTATTTAGCATTTTATTCCAGTCTCAAAGACTTCATTACTAAAACCTTAGCTTTGGGATACTGCGGTGAGCCAAGAGTCAAAGCGGTATACTGGGATTTTACAGGCTTTAGCTTTAAGATTAGATAAATGGTTTTAATAGCCTTCTCGTGTATTCAATATTATATGCAATTTTTGAAACAAACCATTTTTCGAACTTTCGATGACACTTGGTCGATTATTGCTCTCTTTGTGGTTTGAGTGAGTTGACGTGAGATTGAACCTTGGCCTTTTTACCGGTGGTGGCGCTTCTGGGGAGACGTTGCGGTTCACAATGATCGTCTCTGAAAGTTAGTGAAAGATTTTTGAGTACTAAACGAATATATGTGTCGTAGCTGATTAAGATTCAATTCTAATCGGCTAGCCGATTAAGATTGAAACATAAAACGCTGTTACTTATACAAAATAAACCTCAAATGCTAATTGGGTAAATGCAAATTGATTTAATAAAGTGGAGTTTAGCCAATTTGGGGGTAGGCTAATTGCCGCAATTTTTTTTGCGCAACAAGGTCATTTACGCAACTCGCCATAACTTTCTTTTAAGTGAACCAATATTTATGATTTTGATTTCATTTTGTTGCACTTATTGAAATCTACAAAATGAAACCAAAATCATAAATATTGGTTCACTTAAAAGAAAGTTATGGCGAGTTGCGTAAATGACCTTGTTGGGCAAAAAAAATTGCGGAAATTAGCCTATCCCCAATTTAATCATTTTTTTTAAATCCATTAAACTTTGAGCGCTTATAACTCTTGACAGAGTGTTGCGTTGCAGAAATGGAAAGCAGATTCGGAATCAGTAACATTCTGCATCGAATCGCAAATGGCTAGTGTCATTTGGCCAACACACTCGGTTGACTTTCCCTTGTCAGTTCTGCTTAGCGTTCCTGTTTATCTTCTTTTGTTTTCTCAATTTGGTGCACTTGCTTGATCTCCGCGCAAACTTGTAGCCAAAAGTATCATCTAATTGCTATCAAAATACACAATAAGTTGACAAATTTCATTGATACGCCATCTATATGCAAGGATTCATTTTTATGATATGTTTAAAAGCCAGCATTCAATGCAACAACCGATGTCACCATAACAGAAACTACACGAATAAGTAATTTATTAGATTTATTAGTTGCATTTCGTTATGATTCGAGTAGTTTGTTTGCATTTAACCTCCATTTTTTTTTGTTTTTCGTTCTTATGGTTCATTTTGTTATGCTTCAATTTCTGATAAATGTTAAAAAGAGAAAAACCATAAATTACAAAGCATTTCATCTAAAGCAACATTTACTCAATTAGCATTTGAGGTTTAATTTACATATGTAAGAGCGTTTTATGTTTCAACCTTAACGACATATGTATGTCGTTACGACGGCTACGACGTATGCATCCAACTACTATTTATAAAGTTCAAGCTTTGAATGTCATAAATACATATGAGTATTAAGTGATTTTTAACTATCTTTCATTAAACCAACCAGGCTCTCCATTTTCTAACAACTTGTGCACATCAAATGACTCTTCACTTGGCGTTGAGGCTGTTTCCTTTTTCACAAAGTAATCCGCGTAGTCGATTGGGTTGAACTTGAGGAGATTCTTCGCTATTGAAGCTGGAAATTTGTTCTTTGCTTGGATTTTGAGTTTGACAAAACCTTACAAGTTGATTTTTGTTAACGCAAAATTCGCGTTTCAAATAGGATGACCCCGAGAAAAAGTTGCTCACTTCACTTTAACTTCATTTTTTTCGCAAAACCCAAAACCAACCCTCAACTTCTTGCTGTTCGCTGCTTCCATTGGATTCTTTTCCCTCATCTTTCAACATCAGAAAATCATATAGAAGCTTTCTCGCTGGATTCAGCTTCATCGCTTGTTGATGGCCTTGTCGCTCGAAAAGTATTCGATTCCTCACCACTTTCAGCTCTCCGTTGATCTTTTTTCGAACCTGAAATTAGCGATTTGGAAATTGTACAAACACAAAAATAAACATTACAACAAAAGTCAATCAAGTTCAATTTATCACATTTTAACGTGATCATTTGGAAACTAGGCAAGCGAACTAGACAAATCCATGCCAAAATGAAAACTAACGTCTGTATCTTGGTCTTAAACCGATAAAAAATAAAAACCTGATCAGTTGTTCGAAAAATGCCCATTTCTCCCAATGCTTCTGACCATTGCTTCCATAATTTCTGCTTCGCCGTCACGCCCTAGTCAGGAAAAGTCTATTTGAAAAGTGTGAAAAATAGTTATTCAAGTTTTAGCTAAGCTTCCTTTTACAAATCCATAAATAAAACTAACCTGTTGTGGTGTGATCAGCTGTGGTGCGTGGAATTCCTCCCAATTCTCGATCAACCATCCGATCAAGGCGACCAGTCCCTCGAGCGGTAAATCCTCGGTTTTCCCACGTCCATTTACGTCCATTTTCGGAAGTCAGAATTGGCTAAATTTGGTTTATCCATTTGTAGTTTCGCCAAAACACTAACTTGTTGAATGTCCAAATGGACTTGAGAAAATCGAAACGAAACTTGGCTGTTGTGAAACCGTGCAGATGAAAATGTCTAAAAATACGGTAAGGAGAAGAAAAAAGGTTATCAAAAAGGCAATCGAATGTTTGTCAAATGATTGTCAAACCATTTTTTGCAGCTTCAATGATGAGACGTAAAGGTAAAGGTTTCTTTCAATCAATTCAATCATTCAATCAACACATACTAACAACTGTAGACTACAAGAACAAGAAAGTACAATTACAAGAACTGAAAAAAAATGCAGAGAAAAGGTAAAATCCTTACTTGACTGGTTAAGTGAGCTCTCATTCTAAAGAATAATTTGCCTGCTAGAGTTAACAAAGCTTCTGCCGTAGGCTTATAGCCAGTTTTAGTTAAATTTGATGTGTTCAGGGTGTTCAATATTTATGGGGACAGGTAGATTGCTAGATTGAAAGCTCATTTTGTATAAGTTTAATGCTAAAAAGGCAAAACACTTATCAATACACCCAATGTTAACCACTTTAAGCTACTTTTTTTCAAAATTATTGCCTTTTGCTGTTGCTTGTCTAGAAACACCTGTGAAAAGCGCCTACTATGACACGGAGGTTGGGGAAATTTAGTTTGTCACAAAATCTCGTTAAGCTTTCTTCGAAGAACCAAAACTGAAATGTGATTCTAACCTTTTTAATGACCCGCAGATTCGAAAATTGTTTAATAGTGAGGATTTTCTCATGGTTAAACAAGAACAACTGGGGTCTGACTCCTTTTCGTCAAATTTAGTCATCAAGTTTCGATGTATCAATTTTTTGAATATTAAATTTAGTAAACTGTAAAAAGTCTGTAGAAACTGTAGAAAGTAGAGTCGTTTCAATCCCTATGCAGTGCTTTCTTGACGTTTTTTTTTCATAAACCAATTTTGAGAGCGCTAAACGACTTGCGAGTTCAAAAGTTCTCATAAATATTAAACACCCTGTAAGGAGCATAAGAAGCTCGAAATTCAAGGTGATTTTCTATGCCACATATCCCGCGTTTGCAAAGGGTTCTGCAAAAACTAAAAACGGATTTGAAATCCCTATGGGCGACTCTATAAAATGGACTTGGTCTCGAGCCAAAAGGCCTGCTTGACTCGATGCCTTGTTAGAATCTATAAATAGAAGGTTAATAACGAGAAAAAAATTGAGGACACAAGTCTTGGCTGACCAAGAGGAGGACTAATCAATAGCACATGCTGGGGAGGGCAAATGGAACAGAAAAGGGAAAAGGAAAGGGGAAAAGAAAGAGAAAAGTGCCAATCGACAAAGGGTTTGTCGAGCGGGGGAAAATAGCCCTCTTTCTCAATTTCTCTGTTGTCTCTCAAAAATTTGAAACCTTTCCCCCATCTTTCCTTCTTTTTCATCTCCATACCTTTCGTTGTCTTTCGCAAAAATGCCCTTTGGCCAGCTATTATCTGCTAATTTTTGAAAAGGATTTTCTGCAAAATGGGTCGGTGCAACAGTAAGGATGCATGAAAGAAAATAAAAGTACTCAAATTGGAAATGTTTTTTTGATTTAAACAAACAAATTTCAAGGTGTAAAATCTTCAGTAGATCTGACAATTATCGACCTGCCAATTACACTTGTTAATTACCTAATTGTTTTCTAAAGCAGATCAAAATTTTGGTCTGCTCCTCTGCTGCTAAAGCATCATTCAGTTTCACCGAACAAAAATAGTTTTTGCAATTTTATGCAATATATAGCTGCTCAATTTCTGTATTTAAAAAACAAGTTTCAATTTATTCAACTTAATAGCATCCAATTCAACTTAATAATAGCCAATTCAACTTAATAACAGCCAAAGCATCATTAGTTATTGTAAAAAGGGTCAACTCGTATCAACTTGTATGTAAAATAAAAATAAAAGGTTAACTCAAGAATGAAGGCAACTAATTCTAAGCTATTTTTCCTTTTCTTTCTTTTCCCCAAACCCTTTCTTGAATCATTTTCTGAAGTCCGTAATTCTGATTCCTCCAAAAACCGTGGGTGTTTTCTGAGTTCACATCCCGTCAGTTTTCCCTTTCTTATCAAACAAACTTCAGGAAGCTTTATAAAGATTCATTCTTTTGAGAGGAGAAAGTTCCATAAAACACTCTGTACTCACTCTCACATTTCCGCGATCAACTTTTTGAATTGATCCATAATTTTGTATAAAATTAAAGTTCAATTAATGTTAGCTTTGATGATGAAAACTTTGAAAGTTTAGAGAGAGAAATTCTCTGATTTTTATTGTTAGATTTTTGGGTTGTTTCATTTAGATTTTTGTATTTCTTTCAACAAAAAAAACTTGTGTTACAAATTTATAACTGTTTAACGACATAGCTATACGCCAATTACAGGATTTACACAATAAAAAGCATTTTCGAGAAGCAGACACTAACTACTGACCTAATAAAAGAAAATCGATTACAGTTTAACAGCTGAAATGGCTGAACGTCTTGGGGCTGAGCTTTTAGCGCCGTAGCGCCGTGACGCCGTAGCGCCGCACATCGAATCCGTTACTATGGGAAAACACTTTTGACTTAAAATCAAAAATCCGAATTCGGACAATTCTTAATTGTTGTCCAGACAAGAAAAATCCAAAGTTTGAGAAAAATCCCCCTACTCACAAGAAAGTTATTACGGCGTAAAGTTCTACGAACAAAATGTTAAGGAATTCGTCAAAATTTCGATTTTTCTCATATTCACTCCAAAAGAACGTGCCAAACGATCTATTACAAAGTTGTAGCCCTGGTTTTACTCTTTCTAATGATACCCTTGCCATTTCTCTGCATTTTGTTTGCGATGAGTTCTGAGGTTTTTCCCGGCGTCACTTTTAGACAAATATAGGGAAGAGTGCCCATTTCAGGACCGCAGAAGCAAAATTGAGTTTCTAGGTGTTTTTATTCTGAATCTATATCAAAAACATATTGCTTTTTTCCTAAAATAGTTTTTATACAGACAATTCCGTGAGAGAATTTACATAGATATGTCAGATAAGAGGCGCGCCGTGGCGCAGTCGAGAGCGCGTTTGTCTACGGCTCACATGGTCCGGGCTCGACCCACCGTAGTGCCACTCAATTTTGACTTTTTGAATTTTTTTATTTGAAATGGCACAACTATATTATATTTTGAGACTTTTTAGGACTGAAAAAGGCCTATTTGAAACCAAGATTCCTAAAATCTTGGCCGCTTAGGCCTATTTGAAACCAAGATTCCTAAAATAGCAAAATTTTGCCTCATTGAGCGTCACGTTATCTTCCGATTCGTTTGATAATTTTTAAAACGTAACGTATTACACAAAAGCTCTCAAAGATATGCTCAATCTTTGGCGTTTTCTGGAAATGAAAAGCTGCTAAACACAAGTATCAATAAACTTCTGATTACCAACTTTGAGGTTCTATAAAAAAAGGCAGAAAAATTTTTTCGTCAAACCTAAGTATCCACCGTAGAAAAATATTTCAATTTTCTATTAAAACAAAGCGTGAGATGATTGTGCTGATCTGAGTGCTGAGTTACACTTAAAATAACGAATTCAGTTCATTATTGAACACCATGTATAGTAGATTTTTCTGAAAACTTTCAATCTTTGATCTGAAGTAGTCGATTCGTGTCAGATCCCAAAAATTTCCCGAATCATTTTTATGTGGGTGGACACAGAATCAATCATATTTTGCTCATGTCCCAAAATTTTTTGAAGAAATTTCGTGTACATATTGAACCATGCATATTTTTGTGCTTCCGTCGATTTTTGATTGGTTAAAATCTGACTTTATTTATCATTCTGACTTTTTCTGGTTCATTTACACAATCGTCAATTGTTCTTGTCTTGTCAATTGTTTCGTGTCAAGCTTGTCAATTGTTTCGTGCCGGAATGAAAACTCAAAAGCTGGAATAGCTTTTTGATTGTTTTTTAAAAAATTCAATTCCTAGGTTAGATTCCATTTTTTGACCTCACAATCAGTTTCTTTGGTCTATTTTTGAGTTTTCACAAAAACCGTCAGTCAATCTTTGGTCGGTAGTTCGTGTAGGATCGGGGGGAAATGAGAAAAGTCTCCGCAAATAGCCAACAAATCATCGAGTCGACCGTTTTTTTTTCATTTTCAGACTTTGACCCTCAAATAATGAAGTTGGGGGAAGGGATAGATGAATGAGTCAGTTTTGAGTGTCAATTGGAATTTGGATGGTCTATGATGTGGTCGGATGGTTGTATCTGTAATCACAGTCTAATCTATTAGGCTTTCCAGAAAGTCTTTTCGTCTCTTTTCCTACTTTCGTTTAAAAACAACAAATGCAGCAATGAGTCATTGTGATTTGACTTGGCTTGGAGTTGGAAACTCTCTGCAATACCGTTATTCCATAAATCACTGTAATCCTAATACAGTTAAGCCTGAATGTAATTTTGTAAGTTACTTTTTTGCGTAAGGAAGCTTTCATGGAGCTATCATCATCTTTAGATTTGATTCTAGAAGACCTAGTATCTATTGTACTAGATCTTCAGGGTTTCATTCGGATCCATCCATGCACAGACCCATGCAAGGAGCCGTGCAACTATCGTTTTATCAAGGTTTGACTGTGGAAAAACCGAGTTAGGTCCTCACAATCATAGCAACAATCCCACAAAGTCACTTACAATTAGTTAAAAAGGGTTACTTAAAACTAGTTTGGATGTAAAATCAAAGTTTCATCTATGCAGAGTCTGATATTTTAGTTCATTCCGATTCCCAGAGTGCCAGTTCATCTGTTCATAGATGTAGTAGTCTCAGATCAGAGCTATTTTTTCTAATTGCGGTTTGTACATAATCTTTGATTAGTAGCTTGGGGTTTTGGACCGGAAATGAAATGGAGCCTAAAATAGCCGGTAAATCTCATTGAATCGTTGCCTGGCTCGCCAAAAAGAAAGTCTTCCGTTTGCGCAGACTTTGACCCCAAATAATGAAGGGAATTGGTGAGTGATCATTTTATGTGAATGGGAGTAAGTCGGTTGGATGAAGGATGAATGATCTCTGCCCTCTCCATCAGACCCGTCAGGTCAGGCCTACCCCAGTCCCCCTGTCTCCCGCCTCAAAGTTGAGCAAACAGAAAGCTCCACATGGAAATATCGGTAAAAGAGGCAAAACCGCACAAAAAGACTCAAGAATAGAACAGAAAACAGAGAAACAAGAAAACGATAAAAGGATATACAAAGTACAGGACGGTGAAAGGGGCAATGGAGAAGGGGAACAAGGTGGAGAGAGATTACACGTGCCGATTCTCTCCTCTTCTCCTTCTCCACCTATCAAGGGGTTCCCCGCACAGGTCTACCTTCTCTTTTTTTCTCCAGTTCCTTTTACTTTTTCTCATTTCCATCATTTTTCTCTTTCCACCTCACTAATATGGACAGATAGAGACACAAAATTGATTGCCGCATTCGAATTTTCTCTTTTTTTCTAACACAACTTCCGATTCTTGTACACACGTTTTTAGGCTCTCAAAATCGTGATTCATTGCTTAATACCGAATTCTTGGTGCTAACAAATGTTTGCCTTGTACAGTAAGTGATTTTGTAAAATTCAAATTATTTAAAGTTGTCAATGGTTAGTTTTGAATGAAATTTTAAATTAGTTACAAAATAATGAGTGCTCTTTTTCGCCATTCAAAGCCATTGCTAAGTCATCTGATCGTTCTTTTCCTTAAATTCAGCTACAACATATCTGATTGTAGAATATAAATATTTTTTTCTGAGCTAATGAAATTAAAGGCACATCCCACTTTCTTTTACCGTTACCCTAATCCAAAGTATTTGCTTTTGTTTCGTTTTCTCGGTTCTAGCTAGTGCAGTCCTATTTTTCAAATGATGATATTCAAACTTGTTTTCTCAATCTTTGCCTTTTACTCTCAATCAACGAAACAAACTTTACACTTTCCCCCATGATTCCGGTGCTGATTGTATTGGGTGTTTTTGCTTAAATTGAAATTCCTTCTCGTTGTTAACAAAGCAAAGATGAATGAATTCTTGGGATTGTTCTTCTTATCCTTAGGACCACGAGGTGTTCTTTGTGCGACCTTGTAATCGCTTGCCCTCTGGCGTACGGCTTGCTCACGAGGCTTTCGTCGCGCATTTCGTTAGCTGTGCGGGCGCTGGCATAGCGAAATCATTGCATCGCTGACGGATACTGTATGCCAATGTAAACCTTTTAAAAAAGCTTATTTTACCAAGCACCGCAATGGCTTTGTTCAGAATCTGAAATCTAGCCAAAAACAATGGTTCTGGCCTTTCGCAAAACTTTAGAACCTTTAGAAACAACTTCTTTTGCGACAACTTCTTTTATAATTATCATGTTTCATTTAATGAGTTACCTTTCGTCCCAGAATTTCCCTTGTAGACAAATCTTTTTTATTTTTACCTTTCCTCCAATCTCTCTCATGAAATCCTATTTTGATCATTTCCACTTTGATACTCTAATCTTTGAGAACAAAATTTGATATCTATTTTTCCCAAAGTCTGCAACTTTGCTAGACCTACTGTAGACCCATTTGGGCGTTGTTTTGGAGCAAGCGTGTACTTATTTTGATCGACAAATCCTCAACAAAATAATAAAAAGTTTATTGCGAAACCAGGTGTGATTTCTGGATTACGGTAGGATTAAGGTTGTTTTAGTTTTTTCAAGGAATTGTACAAATCGGGGAAAAAAGAGCAACCTGCAATCGCTTTCGCTTTGTGAGTTTCAACCTAAAGACTGTTTAAAAATTTGTTTCATAAAAAGTTTCAATTTGAACAATTGAATAACAATTCAATTGTAAGTCCAATAGCTAATTTCAACAATTGTGCAAGAGATATGCTTCAGATTTAAATCAAAACCAAGTCCAATTGTAGAAAAATTTCACTTTTAGGCTTGTCCCATTAATTTTAGCTTTTTACCTTTAAGCCAAAGCTTGTCTGCTCATATTTTTGAACAACCTTTTGTTGTTTTCCGAAAGCTTAGCCTTTTGCATGCATCAAAAATTTGGCATTCTTTTTTTTGTACATTCTTTTGTACATCCTTCCTCCTTGCTTCCCCATCCACTTCAACGATTTTCCCCTTTCTCAAATGACATCATTATTTTCGTTTTAGAAACGCGTCCTCTTTTTCTCTCTTTTCTCCGAAATTTTTCTTTTTGAACATTCAACATCCCAGCTCTCTAATTCATTCTCCAAAACGAAAAAGGACGATTTTTGAAAGTTTCCACGGAAAATCGACCATAAATAGAGAAAGTCGTGCAAATTTTCGAATTGTCAAAGTATTTTTCATAAAAATCACATATTTTCCTAATTTTGAAACGCTTGTTTGCACGAAATTTTGTGTTGATCAGAAAAATTTTGAACCACAGTTCAAAAAGGATCAGCGAGTGGGGATTGGTTTCAAGTTTTACCAAAGTACATCAAAGTTACAGTCGTATTGTTACGTATTGATAACTTTCACCCTATTTAGGTATTGTTTTACAATTCATCAATTAAAAATGAGCCCAAAATTTTCTTGTTTCAACTCGTCAGTGGGCTTGTTTCTTGGATTTGACAAGAAAGCTACGTTCAAATTGTTTTCTTATAGAGAGAATCGGTTTAAAAATCTTTGTGGATTCAGCTTTTACAATTACTGGGATGGAAAAATGTATATCGATTGTTCTGGCCTGGCCAGGGTTCTTCGATTTTTCCGGGTCAGATCAAAAGCCTAAGTCTAACTTCTGGGTTAGGCTAACTTCTAGCCTAACTGGCTAACTTCTAGCCTAACTTCTAGCCTAACTGGCTTACAGACCTAATAGTAACCTCCTATTAGAACATCCATGCTCCCGACTTTAGAAAAAAAGAATTTTTAAACTTATTCGGCGTCTTGGAGACCAGGTCAATGATAATTGATTTGAGGGGTTTTTAATTTCAGAATCTGTCTACCAATGTCTAATTTTCATTGTGTAGGCCTGGACCTGGTTTCTGGCCAAACTTTGGCCCTAACTAGCTTTGATCTTGCTGTAGACCCTACACAAGGGCCCCTAGATCTGACAAAGATCAGGCCTAGATCTGGTAAAAGGTTTAAAGCTTTTCGGTATCACAGCATCTAGTTTCTTAATAGTATTCGCTTGGACTAATGCTCTCAAATTTTTAACGTCTCAAGTTTACGATATGTTTACGAATGTACAGCTTCTGTTGTGCAAGGGTGTGTCGAAATAGTTCAGTTACGCGTTTACTGAAAAAAAGTACGGTAATTTATTCTATGAATAGTTTTCTCCTTTTTCCATTTTCAGAAACGGGTAAAGAAAAAAGAAAAAAGAAAAAATTACGTTCTAATTTACTTTCAGAATTCACAAAAAAAACAAGTGGATCGCCATTTGAACTTATCGCATTTTCTCATCAGAAAAGAAAGACTACTGTACATTTTTTTTCCTTCCCGCTTCGGTGAGGCGGTAATTTGCGTAGAAACAGAGGGGAAGTTTTCAAAAATCAAGCGGAAAATGGAGAAAAATGAAGAGAAAGACAAAGCGTTGCTATGGATTGAAAAGAAATGAAAGAGAAGAAAAAAAGAATTCTCTTTTCGAGTAATTTTTCCTCTAACAGCGGTCGTCCCCCGCCTTTTGTCGTTGGGATTTTCCGAGAAATCCCCGGTCTCAGAATAGAGGCCATACAGACATTTTTGTACATAGTTTTCTTCAATAATTTTTTCTCTTTTTTTCTACTTTTCCCCGATCACTAGCTAAAATTAACTACAGCTTTTATCAACAATTTTCTTTTCCTTTTTGAGATCATTTCAAAGACTAAAAATCAGGAAATCAAGTGAATACCCGGAATCGGTGCCTTTTTAAGAATTGTGCTGTTTTTCGAAACTTTCGAAACATGTAGTAAGCAAACAAGTACAATCCAGTGAACTTTTCTTTGCTAGAAAGATTTTGGCTAGTGCTTGAGAATGAAGTTTCAATTTTTGTATGATCTTTAGATCTTTAGATCTTGTTGTATGATCTTTAGAGAAAGTAATGTGTATGCCGCAAAGTTTAACTTTTAAAAATGGAACTTCTTTTCAAAACTTGAAAAATTAGATTTGAGCAAAGCGAGCTAACGAAATTCTTGTCTTAGGCTCTAAAACTGATCTAAAAAAAAAGTTTCAACGTTTTCATGATTATTTAGATCAAAGTAATATATGAAGTTGCTTTTTTAAGGTTTTGTCATTTCTTAGACAATCTTTAAAAACTTTACTTACATTCGCCAACTTTGATTTGAATTCCAAAAGTGAAGCGGAATTTTTCTGTACAAAGAAGAGGCTTCAACTTTTTCCTGGCGGCAAGAGAATAGATCAATACAATTTGAAGAGTTTCCCCACCACCATTTTCTTTTTTAAAGCGTTCAAAAAATTTGATTTGGTTTTGTAACAAACACTTGTTGATAATACTGCATTGATCTGCATTTGGAAATTTTTTTGAGTTTTCAAAAAGTGAAGTTTCAACTTTTCCGTGCTCAGTGGAGAATAGCTCAAGACAATTCTTCTGGATAATTCTTTCTATTGTAATTTGTGAAAGCGTTTCTTTTTGTTTCTGTGTACCTAAATTTATTTATTGCATAAAAGCTTATCAATTCAGAAAAATGCCGGATCACGTGGAAGTGATGGAGATTGATGAACTTCCATCAACATCACGTGGGTTTCCAAATGAAAAATAAGCAAGAAAAGTTGTCTTGTTGCTGAAAACTGAAAAGAGCTCAGCTAACAAAATTGAATATCTTAAAAGAGATGTTAAATCTTTAGCTTAGAATTATTTAGTCTTGATGACTGGATACTTTGACTATTGTACAAGAAATTGTCTTGAAGATTGGCTTTACAATGTCTTGAATATCTCAAGTTTCAGCCTAATCGGGTAGACGAAGGATAGAAGGATAGAAGTAGAAGGATAGAAGTAGACGAAGGATAGAAGCTCATTAATTTCTTCTTGCAGAGGGATGTCCAGGCTGATTCAAAAGTTCCTGTAAAATTTTACTAAAACTTGATTCTAAAATGACTGAAGAAAGTTATTCAGCTAAAAAATCAAAGTCTAAACTTCACGTCTAACTAAAAAAATTGAAAAGAAAGTCGATTTTGGCGGCGTGCCGTCGACCACTTGTGCTCGGCTCAAAGGGCCAACCATTTAAAAAACTTTACAGAGCTATGAGCTCCTTATTATTAGGTTGATGCATAAGTCTTTTCGTTTTTTTCGTACTTCTGTTAAAAAGTAACAAATTCACCAATTAATCTATAGTTTGCTCTATAAAAAAAGTGTTTTTTTGTTCAATTTCCATCTTTTTAAATCAATTTCGGTTCACTTTCAAGCAAATTCGAGAGTGAAAAACGCCTTTTTCGTAAAAATCTATAAAAAACTCTACGGAAAAATTAGCTGAATGAATTTCTCTGAAATTTTGGCGAAATATCAAACTTTTTTTTCTCTATCTTTTATCTATTGACACGAAGATAGGTTTTCTTTAGCTAAGGTGTCTAAACGGCATCATCGAGTTAGCCCTTTTTGACTACCCGACTTCATACTCTCAAGAAAATCCAGGCATAAAATATTTTTAAACCCGTTTTAATGTTATTTTGCAGAAAAATAATTGGTTTTTCTAATGAAATCAACCGTAGTTTAATTGGTGCATTTTTTGGCTTGAAACGGCAGACGAAAAGGAACAAAAAGACTTATGCATCAACCTATTAGTTTTAAGTATAATTTTATTAAGGTTTTCATTTCAGAAAAGTTTAGTTCAATAGCTTTCCTCAGCCATTTTAAAATCAATTTTTAGTAGAAAGTTGTACGGGAACTTTTGGATCACCTTTGAAACTTTTGAATGTATTATAAAATAGCTACTAGCTATAAGATTTAATATACAAAAGTATAAGTTTAAAAAAGCAATATTTGCCCATTTGATTATGCCCATATATTCGCTTCTTTCATTTAGTGACAAAAGTGCGTGAATTCTTTGCCCAAGATGACTGTGACATTTGCAATTCACCGGCTGCCACTCTTCACTACGGAGCAATGACGTGTGGGTGAGTTGAAAGAAAGGATTTATTCGAAATATGGTTAAACAAAAAAAAAGGAAAGAAAAGAAAGAAAAGAAAGAAAAGAAAGAAAAGAAAGAAAGCAAAATGACTCTCAAACTTTATTAAGACAAAGTTATCGATAACTTTTTGCGTTTCGAAATTTCCATATGTTCAATAGCAATTTCTGCAGTTCTTTAGATTTTCAACAGAAGAAAAGTTTAACTTTTCAAATTCTATAAAGTCTAACCATTGAATAAAGGTTCAATTGTCATTGTTATTTGTTTGTTTGCTAAATTTTCAAATTTCAGAAGTTGTAAAGTGTTCTTCTTGCGAACATCGATGGCGAAGAGAGTTTTTTTGTGCGACAAAGGGGGACGATGTGAATATCGTGAGTTTTCAAGTGAATTACTTCAAAAAAGAAATAATAAGCTTAATGAGTCTGCTGTTAATGTCAGAAAAGCTTAATGATTTCACAAACAAAATCTTTTGAAGTCTTTTGAAAATAGTATTTAGGCTATTGTAACTATTGGTACCAATTAGATTAAGCGCTTTAAAAAACCGTGTTTCAAAATGAGACAAAATCCAAGCTGAGCTCAAATTTCAATAAAAGTATTTTTTGGTTTCTAAACAAACTAACAAAAGTTATGTTGTCTGAAAAAAAATAGTTTATCGAATAAGTTCAGCTCGCGATCGATGTCGAGCCTGTCGTTTCCAGAAGTGCCTCAAAATGGGAATGAATCCGGAAGGTTTGTCGGGATTAGAAATCGATAAAAGTATTCAGTTTTGTTTACGGAACTATAATTTTGCCGTTTTATAAATTTATAAATTCAAAGTTATCCTGAAAACCAACAAAATTTCCAGCGGTCGGTCGCCGGAAACAATTGATAGCAAGTGCAAAGGAAAACGAAGAAGATCAATTGCCCGATCTCTCCATTGTACCATATTTTACGGAGGTTGGGCTTTCGAAAATTCAGAATTATAGAAAATTACTACGCATAAGAATCAACTCAGCAAAAAAAACTTGAGCGCCTTTCAGAAATCGGCAGCTCGATCAAGAAGTTACCACCTTGAAGCGAAGAAATTCGACAATCCAACAAAAATCGTCAGTCATTTATTGGGGATCGAGAGGTTTGTTGCAAAAAAAATAATGGAAAGATCATTGTTTTAGGTTTTGTGATAATGAGGACACTGGTAAATACTCATCATACGAAAATTTCGACTTCACATTGGATGTCGATTTATCGGAAGCGTTGCAATTTCCGGGGAAAATTTGTCGCCGAACACCGGTGAGTGCCAAAAGAGACAAGGAAAAATGAACTTTGAAAAACGCAATTAGAAATTTGTTTGGAATGTGTAATACAAAATAATGATTCATCCGATTCAAGCCCCAAAATTTCAGATTGGTTTCTCTAGTGGTCTCCAAATTTGTGCCAAAGATCCGAGTTCCCTTTTTCGTCAACTCTATTGTCGTCTAACGCTTCACATGTTGGATTGGGTGGTTTCTTTGGATGAAATTTGGATGATGAGCGAAAAAGATCGAGTCAGTGAAAAAAGAATTTAAGAAATTTCAACTTTTTATCAGTTTTCCAAACCCAAAAGAAGTACACTAGCTCCATTTTTTTTCACTCTGAGCCCCATTTAACATGGAAAAGCTTCTTTAACACATTCGCAACTAAACGGCCCACGAGTGAGCCGTACGTAGATTTAGCACTTTGTTTGAGGCCGATTGGGCTGAAAATTTGGTGAAAGATGGCGAGTGAAACCTATGATAAAGTTGATGAAAGCATTGAGAACAATTTCTCTTCTTTTATCTGGTTCAAATTGAAATCGCCTTTCCAAGCGATAAAAGCTTTTGGCAAAGTTTAGTTTAACTTGGCCTGAAATTAGCCCCAACTCTAGTTAAAGTTGATTAAAGTTTCGTTAAAGTTTAATAATCAGATTGTAAAGCAAATGTTAAACTTTGAATAGTATTCCCAATAGTCGCGTTGAAAAAGCGTTTGCAAAAATAAAAAAAAGCATGTAACTAGCCTCAGTTTCGCTCACTAGATCCGGTCCAACGTGAAACCCAATTTTCAAGCGGTAAATCTTTTGGACTGTTTTTGAAGAGCTCGAGCAAATGGGAGTCTAGTCTGACAATCATTTACAAAATCAGAAAGGAAAGAAATAAAAAAATAGAGAGAGCTACAGTATTGTATTAGAAAGCTTTCTCTACAACAGATCCCCTGTCTTAAACCCAATAATTTTACTTGGTAAAATTTGGACCCGTTGTTTCTAAAAGACAAGTTTAATCATCTTGTTTAGAGGCTTAATCATCTTGTTGTAGAATAATATGAATTAATTTCATCTAAAAAAGCTGAAAAACTGTTCTGTTAGTTCACAACCAAATCCCCAGATCCCAAAAACTTTAGGTCCGATTGATCTCTCGACAGGCGGCCAACTGTGTGGTGCTCACGATGGCCTACAACACATATCGTTTCGATGCTTCGGGCGTTCTTTTTTGTCATGGATTTCAGCTGGAGAAAACCCTCGGCGATTCCCCCGAGTTCGTCTTTATAACGGCAGATTTGAAAAGGGCAATTATGTGGGTGTCGAGAACGATTACCGTAATCTGATCGTAGTTTTCCCCTGGCTATTCTCCATGCTTTTTTCGTGCTTTCTTTACAGTATGTCTAAAATGCTTAAAGTCAAATTTTGCCTAACCGGTCTCTATTGGAATACTTACCGTCTTGACAGAGTAAGAAAAATGTTTTTTAGTTGATTACTCTACTGAAACTTGTCGGCTTGGTGATTAATTTGAGATACAAAACAAGTAGGAGAGCTTCAATTAAGAAAAGAGACTAGAAAGCTGAAGATCATGCACCCACACCTAATCCTGATTGTTAACAAAGCCGAACCTTGAGCCGTTTCCTTTGAAACACAATTTCAATAACAATTCAATCAAGCAGAGATTTAAAGCTGAAGATTTTATTATCTTTTTCAAATACAACACGTTTATTGCTAATTTAAGCTCTAACTTTTCATTTGATTTGGAACATAATTTTTCAATAAACATCAAATAAGAAAAGAAGACTAGAAAGCTGCAACTTTGTTACTTTGTTACCCACACCTATTGTTAATCTAAACCCAACTTCATAGCCACTAGCTTTGAAACGAATTTTCAATGGGGTTTCATGCTTTTTCTGCTTTTCTTAGATTATTATATATCAGAATAAAACATTCAGAATAAAACAAATTGTTTACCCCACTTTGTAACGATTTTTTTGAAACATGCTCTTTTTCAGTGCCAACGATTTCTCGACGGTGATGGTCGATTTCGCGCACTCGCAATTGCTCAGCGTTTTCCGGGAGATTCATTTGAGTCCCGAAGAGTATGTTTTGCTGAAATGTATCAGCTTTTTCACTACAGGTAATTTTGAAAGCAATAACTGAATACCCGGAAATCTAGTAGGACATCTATCGGATGAGGCGACGGAGATCGTGCGAAACGCGAGGAGACGATACGAATATTTGTTGGCAAAGGTAATTTGGGCGCTTTTTGCAGCAAATCCCATAAAAATTCCCAAAAATGGCCATAGCTAAGCTAAAGAGGTGATTTTGGGTTTAAAAATTACATCCAAATTTTAGCACATCGAAGAGGAGCGGCCGAATTTCTCTCCGACGGCTCGCGCGATACGGGTGATGAAGATTTTGGGGTTGCTACCGAAAATAATGGTGAGTTGAAAATAACGGTGAAAATATTAGGTGTGTGAAAAAGTAATCCACGTTTTTAACGTTTAAATATAAAAGACCATAAGTTTCGTTAAAATAATTTTTATTCAATGAAGTAATCACCATTCGAAGAAACAACCTTTTGCCAACGTTCTACAAGTAAAGACATTCTATAATAATAAAAATCTTGGTCCTTAGAGGCGAAGAAAAGATCAACGTCGGTTTTGACATCTTCTTCGGAATTGAACCATTTATTGGCCAAAAAGCTAGACAGAGACAAAAATAAATAATAATCAGATGGAGAAAGGTCTGGACTATAAGGTGGATGTGGTAAAACCTCCCATCCAATACTCTGGATTTTTTGTCGAGTCTGTAAAGAGACATGTGGTCGCGCGTTATCGTTCATGCGGTATCCATTTGTCTAACTTTTTGATAAAATTCATGGCATTCAAGCGTTTCCTTACGGTTGACCCATCACAATTTAATATAAAGCCTATTTCTGAAGAGGTTGAACGAGGGTTTTTGAGAAGACAGCGTCTTATTTGGTCATCAGATAAAAATAAAAAACGTGGATTACTTTTTCACACACCTAATATTTTGAGCGTAGAGCCTAAAACCAGCTTAAACTATAGTACTTTGTCTTTAGTTAACTTTAACTCGTACCTCTACGAAGTTTCAGTCTCAAATAGAATCGAGAAAGTTATTCGGATTAAAGAAGCTCACTTCTTTGTGAAAACAGTCTTAAATACAAAATTTGAACATTTGGACAGTCTTTCGTTTCATTTATTTAGCCGAAACATTGTTGAATTGAAACATTGTTTTCCCCGAGCTCCAATTAGGGTCGGCAAATTCGAATAAAATCGGTCTGGTAAACAATTATTTAGTTTCAAATTAATAAAATTGATAAAATTGATAATCAGATTAATATAATACATGGCAAGATTACTATTGGCATAGATCATTGACCAATTTTAATCTTATCCGCCTAAAGCTGAGACCCTTAAGTCAGAGAAAAACCTTGTTTCAACTTGCACCAGCTGAGCCGATAAAGTGAAACGTTAGTTAATGATAAAATCTGTCTCGTTTCAAATAATTCCCCAATTCCAATTCAAATATTTTATAATGATTAAAACGTACATTTTTCGAAAAACATAAAAATCTCATTTTCTTTTAGAAAATGGCCATTTTCGACGATCAATATTTGGCCAAAATGGCCGCCTTGGATTTGCAGGGAATGCGCGGGAGAATCACAAGGGATTTTCATTTATCTGACTGAATACCTCCTGTGTGTTTTGTTCTGTTTTGCTGATGCCAAATACCTATACATATTTAAATATTTATTTGGAGAGAAATGGATAAATTATTTTTCTTTTTGAACAACAAGACTTTGACGATAGGACTGAAGTTTAAAAGTTTAAAAAGTCACATTGGCCTGCTTATTTTCGGGCATTTTTGAGTATAAATTCAAAATCTATAAATCTATAATCTATACAGCAAGCAAGAATCGAATTGAGATCAGAAAAATGAAAAGAAACTTATAAAAGAACTTTGAGCTGTTGTAAAATTGTTAAGTTTTTATGAATGTTAAGCGAAACTAAATGAAACTGGTATTTTCACAAGAAAAGAGGAATTCAATTAAAATATGGGTCAAAGTAGCAACAAATTTTGCAATTACAGTAACGTTTTATGACGTGATTTTTAATGTAAACTGATTTCAAATTGGATTTGTACAAGAAACTGTGAGATATCAGCTATAAAATGGTGCAAGTTTCAACATCGGTTCGTTTCTTTTGCGCCGACTTCTCGATGGTGTACCGAAGTCGGGGTGTGATTGCAGGACCGCTCAAAGTTGTCTGGAAAAAGTTCTGATTTAAGCTGTCAAAGTGCCAAAAAGTCGATATTTCATAATTAAACCTAGGTAGGTTAAAAACGTGAAACTCATGACTAACATAAAAAGTTCCCACAGAAAAAGTGAATTTTCGTAAAAAAAAAGTGGCCCCCCCTCAACTAGGATAATACCGGAAAACTTATATCAACAGCACCTAATATTAAAGAAAATATTCAATTACCAAACCCACCAATTATACTCGGTTAAATCATAAAAAAAGTTATTAAAGCAAAAATAAATTAATAAGTCGCAATAAAATGTTATAAAGTATAAAATGAAAATCCTTATTTGTACACATAAAATGAATATCACTTGAAATAGAACTAACACGAGCATTGTGCTCTTTAACTTTAGGCATTGTGCTCTTTAAGATTTAGCTATTTTTAGTTTACATTGTGTAAACTAAAAATAGCTAAATCTACCCGGATGACCGAAAGTACTTAAAGGAGGATAGACAGTTCAATTAGTTTCTGCATTTATATCAGCAAAAGCAGAATCTAAAATTAAAAGAAACTGAAGAAGTTTTCCGTTCCGTTCAATTTTAGACATCCGGTCAGACGTCCGAAATTCAACAAAAATTTCTGTTTGACGGTCAGACGTTTGTCCCGTTTCGGACATATTAGGTTGGTGCAAAAGAAATTTCGGTCGATATAAAATGTTCTTATTTTTTAATCTGAAGAGCTTATTTGATGTTCTTTTGTGCATTTGTACTCTTGGATATTTACTTTATTTTCGCATTTTTTCAAAGTCAGAGCTTTCACTTTTTAATTGATTTTTGCTTTAGATCATGGTGGATCAAAAGTATGTTCTGCGCACGTGTCTTCTCTATGACTTCAAAATGGGCAAAAACGCTGCTGATTCACATCGTGATCTCTGTTCCGCCTTTGGAGAACAGGTTATCACCGAAAGATCATGCCAGCTCTGGTTTGCCCAATTCCGAGATGGTAATGAATCCCTTGAAGACGAATCGCATGGACATCGTGCCACAGCCATCGACAACAATGAATTGGAACAATTAATTGAAGCTGATCCAATGCAAACAACACGAGAACTTGCCAAAAATCTCCAATTCAACAATTGTACGCCATTTGGAAATAATTGGAAAGACAAATCGTAATGGACAATGGGTTCCACATCAATTGAGTGCTGAGAATCTGGGAGCACGCGTTCCGATCAGCCATATCTTGCTCCAGAAGTCGAAAAGAAGCCATTTTTTTTGAGAATATCTTGACGATGGATGAGAAGTGGATTCACTTTGATAATACTTCTCGAAAAAGACAATGGCTGAGCAAAGGTCAAGCGCCAATTCCAACTCCAAAGCCGGATTATCATGGGCGCAAAGTGATGTTGTCTTGCTGGTGGAATATCAATGGACTTGTTCATTTTGAATTATTAGAGCCCGGAAAAACAGTCGATTCATCTTATTTTATTCAACAACTCAAGAAGGTTGACGAAATTTTGCGTGAAAAAGGCCTAAATCCCCCAACTATCAACTTTCTCCGTGATAATGCTCCAGCTCACACGGCAAAAACCTCTTGTAAGGAACTAGAGAAGCTAGGATGGAAGGTCTTACCACATGCGCCTTATAGTCCAGACTTAGCACCCTCTCATTTTCACCTTTTCAGATCGATGCAACATTCCCTTGAGAATTGCCAGTTTAAGAATGCAAAAGAAGTCGAAAATTGGGTGACCAACTACTTTGCATCACAGAATCAAGCGTTCTTTGAGAAGGGGATCCGCAATCTGTAGCAACGTTGGAGGGATGTCATAGATAATAATGGTGCTTATTGTTTTAAATAAATTGTTATCAAAAAAAATTTTGGATGACTTTAATGTTTGTAAAAAAACGAAATTTCATTTGCACCAACCTAGTAACATATACATGGTATTGTTGGGAATGAATGTTTATTTCCACAGATTTGTGTTGACCATGTTTTCTAAACCGCGCCCTTCTAAACCGCATCTATTCTCTATCAATCGAACATCAATTGGATCTGTCACACGAACATATCAACGGACACGCACGAAAACAACAAGTAAGCATTTAGCTAATAATTTTTTAAAAATTTCGCTCACTTTACTTCCTGATACTTGATATGATGGATTGAAGGCCCTCTTTTTGTCGACTTTTTTCGTCGACGCGACAGCGGTTTGTTGGCGGTGAACTTGCTGAAAGAAAGGAGAATCGTTTTTGCTTAGGGAGAATCATTCAAAAAATCTTTGAAAACATATCTAGTCATTTTATTGGATATTTTGGATATTTTATTTAGTTGTTTGTTAAGCAATAAGCAATAAATTTTCCCTGAAACCTTCTGTGGCGTCTTCTTGATGGCGTCGGCTGTACAGGCGACACTGCTTCGTCGCTCCTCTTTCACCTCTTCTAATCTGAAATTTGGAATTGTATTTGGACTGTTGTTTTACATTTACATTTAGCTTTAACAAATCTATAATTTATCTAAGACTTTGTAGAGTTATTCTACTTTTGTATTTGCTTTGCTTTGCTATTTGCTTTGCTTTGCTCTATCTTTGGAAAGTAATGTTTCAAAGATTAGCAGGCCAAAATGGATCCACGAGCCTAATATGGCTACATTCAATTTTAAAATTGAAAAGCTTTTACTTGACCTTTTGAATTGTTTTATCAAAGCAAAATGTTCTATCAAAGTGTCACGTTTTTGAGTTTTTGCGATGAGCTGATGAGCTGCTCACGCCTTTCTGTTCAATAATCCCCTCTTGAAACAGGGGAAAATCCGCTTTCGAAAGCGGATCTCTTTATCAGATTTGAGGAAAAAAAGACTGATTGCACGTCTAGTTTGTTTTTGATTCGCCCAAATCTATCAGCCGAGATTTTTGACAGTGATTTTTGACCCTAACAAACCCCAGAATTCGCAATTCTCGGGCTCAAAGAAAAAAGAATGTTTCGTTATCATTTTCGGGACAAAAAATAGATTGGGAAAATGGGAAAATGGGCAATTTGGTGTTCCCCAAAAAATTTCCACAAAAAAGGAGGAAACTGGGGGAAAAAACGTGGACATTTGGGCAGATTTCGCCGTTTTTCCAGGATAAGAGAGCTATTTTTGGAAACAAGCGATCTTACTCAATTTAAATGAAAAAAATATCATTGTTCTGAAGCTCACAAGTACGATTCGCTTCTAAAATGCATCAAAGCGCTCAAAAAGTTAAACGATTCATCAATCTTACCAATTTTCTTATTTTCTGTATATTATTGTACCTTTCGGACAGCACTCTAGCTACAGTATACCGACTTTGCAAGGGTATCAGTTAAGGCTTCGTCAGTCAGCTTTTAGCGGTTTTGTTAGCCAAGCATTTTTAAAGTCCTTTAATCTTTTCCCATCAAAAAAAAAACCCACGTCGACTGTGATCCTTTTCCATGATGCAAAGCTCCGGTTGAGAGATGTCTCAATCGGTGTGGTGAAGGGTTTTCAGGAATCGGTGAATGGGAAAGATTCGAGGAACATGATGATGTGGAAGCTGATGGAACCTGAAAGCAAGAAATGCTGCAAAAATAGAAAATCATCTTGATTCAACCATTCACAGGTTAACTCATCAGCTTAACAACAGAGCAGAAAAAGTTTGTTTCAGAAATGAACGGACATAGCCTAACCGGAATTAAGGCTGGATATTCTCACTTTAATCCACTCATTATTCTTAGCAGTCCTGTTAATACAGTTCATCAATTGGTAAAACAGGTAAAATTTTCTTTCAGCAATGAGTCTATAAGTTTGAAAGCTATTTGTTGGCAAAAACATCTGAACAACGGTAATTTGTAGGTGTTCATGTACTGGTCAAGTACAAGTACAAGAAGTTTTGCCCTTTACCTCAATATTCAATTCATCATTCCTCTCACTCATCCTCCGTTGTCTCCCCGAAATTCTTCTCTGGATCTCGGCTCGTTTCCCTACATAATACGTCTCGGATCGGTAGCGTCGAGACGCCGGCTTTGCATCATCTTCAGAAATCATCAGTTTCTAGTTAGGCACTAAATAGGAATAAAATCTTTAGTCAAGCGTTGGAATCATTCAATCAATTCAATTAATTGAGTGTGAAAGCTGAAAACAAACTTGACTATCGTTAGAATTTCTAAAGTTTATTGCTTAGGTTACAAGCTTGTTCAAGATTCAGCTTCTTGACTAATTCAAAAACCCCAAGAAAAAGCAAAAATGACTCATTTGTCATATAAAAATCGATTAGAACCAAAAAGTGTGTGTGTGTCGAAAATTAGATTGGATTGTGAAAGATTGAAAAATGAACAAGGGGATAAGAAATGTCAGTGGCCAGTTTTCTGTGTGTCGTTTAGAGAGGGGAGAACAGATCAGAACAACATTTTCGATAAGAAACCATTCTCCCAAATTTTACCCCACCAATAAAAAGATATCCGAATGAGTGAAATGAGAGAGAGAGAGAGACTGGGTCCAAAATGCACTCAAATATCAATTAAACAAGCGCACATCATAGGGCGAAGGAGGGGGAAGAAAGTTGAAAAGTCTTGTATCATATTTTATTGCTTTTTGTGCAAACTACCAGGATTCCTAGTGTGTTTATCGTTTTCCAAAAGGCATCTATTTTAGAAAACTACCGCAATCAACTGCTATTGCTATCAACTGTTTAGAAAGGCTTTTCATTCCCCTTCATACTTCCGTTGAAAAATAAAAAATTCACCAATTAACCTATGATTCGCTCTAAATAAAACGTATTTATTGTTCAATTTCCCATCTTTTTAAGTCAATTTCGTCTCACTTTCACGCAAATACGAGAGTCAAAACGTGATTTTCACAAAAATCTATAAAACCTCTACAAAGAAATTGACTGAATTAATTTCTCTGAAAATTTGGCTATACACCTAACTTTTTGTGCTATATCTTTTATCTATTGACACGAAGATAAGTTTCCTTAGCTAAATGGTCTAAACCGCATCATCGAGCCGTCGCCCTTTTTGACTATCCGACTGCATCCTCCCAAAAAAATCCAGAAATAAGACATTTTAAACCTGTTTTATTTTGCAAAAAAAATTGGCCTTTCTAATGAAACAAACCCTAGTTCAATTGATGCATTTGTTGGTTTTAAACGGAAGTACGAAAAGAGACGAAAAGAGTTTCTGGACAGCCTAATAGTTTTCGCCCGCTAGAAAAATCGCCCGCCTACCTCGCCTTGCCTTGTAAACATTGTTAATTTTTGATTTGAATGGAATCGTATGATAACTGAAACTGTTTTCCAACTTTTACCCATAATTTAATGAAATTTGAAAGCATCAAGAGCAAAAGATCACCTAATACAATATGCAGACGTGCATGTGTAAAAGTCTTTTAACACTGAATTTTCCAAAAAGTTTCATCGATTTTCTTTGAAGTTCAAGGCATTCTTTAAGCTATTAATAGTTTTAGTTACACAAATATATGTGCAATTTATTTACACAAACTTTATCGCTATACAACACTAATTCATTGAGAAAAAAATATAATTGTCAAAAAATCCCTGAAAATCCTGGTGCAAAAGTCTTTTAACACAAGACGAAATTAAGCTATAATCAATATTTTGTCGGCCCTTCTTTTGCCAAAAGTTTTTTAATACGAATAGGCATACAAATAGGCTGTCATTATAGGCTTGAAAGCAGGTCTTATAGTATGCATTGAAGCAAGCGTCGATGGAAGGTCCAACGGGAAATATTCTTGTTTGAAAATTTGCTTGAAAAAAATGACTTCATCGTTCAACGTCGAATTCGGATCCTCCTTGAAAGCTCGTGTAAGGGATCGGTCTTCATTCTTTGCTGTAATCCTCGGTCATCCCTTTTCCCCCACATCTGTGCAAATTACCAGACGCATAACAAGAGAAACTGTTGTGAGCGTACATCCTAAGAGGCGAGCGAAGTCTTGTCGTGGCATTCCTGCTTAGGCTTATGCTTAGGCTTAGGCTTAGGCCTCGACGATCATTTCTTCATCCGGGGTTGACAAATACGCTCCTGGTATCTAAAAACAATAAATTAATACCAGTAAATAAGAAGCTAACAAAAATCATAAAAATTTTTGCAAGCGTGAAAAGACTTTTGCAAATGACTGTAATAAATGAGAATCAGATGTCATTTCTTCGTCATAATTTTGTTTCTCGATCTCCATAAATTTTCTTGAACTTCATGCATGCATCTTTTACGTTATTGAACTCAATAAACCGATTTTAATCTTGTATTCTTTGAAACATTGCCTAACTGAAGATCATTTCCATGAGCTCATCTACAAGCTACAAGCTCATCTACATACTTCAAAAACATGTTACTTCTGAAAAATGAGCTTCAATAAGCAAATTAATTCACAACTTTTATTTTTACTCACCCAAATCTCAAATCCAAGCAAACATTTGTCACGCGAGTTTATTCAAGTTCAGTGCATTATACTTTAAAATAAAGTGCAGTACTTTAAAATAAAACTCAAAAGCACGGCTTTTTTAAAACTTTTCTTTTATTTTGCTTCGTAAACCAAAAGTCAATTATATTTTGCAATCATATAATTGATAATTCCCAGTGTTTGTCATGAGATTTTTGCTCAAATCAAATCCCTCGTACTTCTCCCAAATTGACCTCGAAAATCCCTTTCATCACAAATTTGCTAGATGGAATGAGGAACACCCAAAAATCGACTTCAACTTGCAGACAGTCGAAAGGGGAAAAGGGAAAGAAAGGAAAAGAAAGAAGAAGATGGGCTAAGAATAGAACTTTGGCCTCGTTTCGGTGCAGAGAAATGTTGAGGGAAAAGGGTTTTTGAGGAGAGTTTCAATTGGGAAGAAAACGGGGAAACTCTCTGAGCTCTCTGAAATGTTTCTGATCTCTCACCTTGAAATGCACTCAATGTCTGGATGGAGGCAGCATTTTTCTATGTACTCTCTAGGCTTTTATGTTAAACATTCTAGTTTTCCATTTTTTTGGGACATTTTTGTTCAATGCTCACCGGTGCATTGACTACGATTTTCAAGGTTTTTTTGCATGAATGCAATGATCGTTTTTGCGCTGTAATAGAATCATTTTGTTCTTAAAAATCTATTCTTCGTTTGTTGTTTCTCCAAGCAAAATCTGTAATTTTGCTGAACTTGAGCCATTTTTCCCGTATTTTGGCTACAAATAATTATCGCTGGGCTAACAAGTGCTGGGCTACTCTTATAGTTAACTGGTCGCGTCCGTTTCCTTCCTATTTGCGTTGCTATTAGGTTGATGCAAAAAGTCTTTTTCATTTTTTTCGTACTTCTTTTGAAAAATAACAAAGTCATCAATTAACCTATGGTTTGCTCTAAATGAAAAGTGTTTATTGTTCAATTTCCCATCTTTTTAAGTCAATTTGGGTTCACTTTCAAGCAAATTCGAGAGTGAAAACGGGTTTTTCATAAAAATCTATAAAAACCTCTATAAAGAAATTGGCTGAATCAATTTTTCTGAAAATCTGAAAAAATATCTAACTTTTTGTGCTCTATCTTTTATTTATTAACATCAAGATTGTTTCCTTAGCTAAAGCGTCTAAAATGCATCATCGAGCCGTCGCCTTTTTTGACTACCCGACTTCAGGCTCTCAAAAAAATCTAGACATAAGACATTTTAAACTCGTTTTAATGTCATTTTGCAGAAAAATAATTGGCCTTTCGAATGCAATAAACCGTTGTTCAATTGGTGCATTTGTTACTTTTTAACGGAAGTACGAAAAAAATGAAAAAGACTTTTGCATCAACCTAATATTTTGCAATTATTCGCGTCGCATTTTTCGCCCTTTTCTCCCTTCCCGAAATTGTTTTTTTTGGTCTGCGGGTGGCTTTTGCCTTCCCTCTTGGGGACTTTTGTTGTTTCTTTTGATGCGCATGCTGTTTTTGTAATAGGTATTGTTGCATTTTGGTTTTGTACTAATAAACAGTAAAATTATAAATTCAACTTACTTTCTGCTACCCTTCAGGTTTCAAATCCTGTTTAGATAACTGGTTTAACATTGTAGCGAGAGCTTACTAACATTTGTGTCGCCACCGACGAGTATTAATCTTGTGTTGGATGCTGCTCGTTCTTGTTATGTTGTAAGCGCTTTGGGGAAACCCTTTTTAACCTTCTTTGTGCAATTCGGCTATTCTGAAGCAAAATCATCCTCGATGATAAGGTTAAAGCGGGTCGCACCCCAAACTAACTCCATCTGAGGTGAGGCGGATTAAGTTTGTTGTAGTGTAATGGCTAGCAACGTTGACCGGCAAGTGGAAGGTCGCGGGTTCGAGTCCCGATGCTGTTTTTGTTTTTGACGCACAAGTTTTTGATCTGCACTATTTCAAACCTTATAACTAAATACTGGTGTTTCAAAATTGTTTACTGGATTAGACATTAGTGCTAATGTCCAATTAAGCATTAAGCTAATGCCAGATCAACAGGCTTTATTGTTAATATAAAGCTAAACCTAAACACCATCACTGTGTGTAAAAATCGGCAATAACTATTGTAATCGAATCGGCAAAATATCGATTTGTAATAGAGTACAGTTCATTTTGAATTTCATCCTCTCACTATCACAGCACAAAATCTTCATCCCAGTCCTCCAAAAATCCGCCAAATCTGCACACATAATCGTTGAGACATTCTCGTCGTGTAATGGTCAAAAATCATCAGACACACACCGACAGAAAGGGATTTTTCTCTGCACAAATGTCTCTCTCACTCTCTTGAGTTGGCTGGGTGGCGCTCAGACTTCTTTCGTGGAATTTCTCTGTTGCAGAGGAAAAAAAGAAAGAGTAAGAAAGAGAACGATAAATGAAAAAAGCGAGGCAAAGAGAATGTCTCTTCTGTCTAAATGTTCTCTTCTCATTTCTTTCCATTTCTCCAATTTCTCGTCATTCTTTTCCACAGACACATCTCGATCGGTTCTCTTTTCTGATTCCTTTCCCCCTTTTCCCCTTTTCCTCTTTCCATTCACTTTTCCTTTTCATCTTTGCCCATTCCTCTACATGTCTAACACACACACTGCTTATTCCCTTTTCCCTCTTTTTCACCTAAATTCTCGACACACAAATTCACACCACAGAAACGCACAAAATCCCGTGACGACAAGTGAATTGGCCGCTTTTTTTTGTTTATTTGCCACTTTTTACTTGGGAAACCTTTTGGATGCCTTGTTGGAATCAAAAGTGATATTTCATTTTCTACAGCTTTTTCTTTTACGGATTTTCTACAGCTTTTTCTTCTTTTACAGATTTTCTACAGCTTTTCATGAAATCTTTTTTAAAAGCCAGAATTTGATGGACTTTGATATTAATTAATTTAAAATGAAATCAAATGTTTCAAAATAGGGGATAAGAGAAGCAATGTCCAAAACTTGAGAGGATTTCCCCTACAGCTTTGAACGCTAATCATTGACCACTACAAGCGCTTTTTCGTGTACTTGTTTGTGCTTGACATAGAATTTTCTGTAGATTTCTGGATTTGAAATAGTGTTTTGCTGATTTGAAACTTGAGGTTCTCTTTTCATGCTAAAATCCTGCTTTCACTAAATTTCGTTTAGCGTTAATGTTAAAATTTGTGTTTCAAATTCGAGGATTCGAAAATTTTTAAAAATCTTATAATTGCTAAGGTTTATATTTGAAATTTTAAGAAATTGAAAGTCATTTCGAAAAGCATTTTCTCCGGTACATATTCTGTTTTCATTGATCTCTAATCGCTGTACGGGGAGACGGCCACAAATGGCACAGAGAAGGAAAACGGGAAAACGCTCAAATTTTGTATTTTATGCCCTTTTCTCCTTTTCTCTTCTCTTTTCCCATTGCTTTTTCTGATGAAATTTTGTGGCCTTTCTAAATTGATTTTTATACACATTTTGACCGAAAAAACATCTATACAAGCCTTTTTAGAGATTTCGTGAATCGGCAAATTCAAATTTATTCCCGCTCATCGATGGATAACGAAAGGTAGATTCAGCACCATTTTGGAGATTAAAAATGAAAGATCTTTCTGTTTGGAGTGAATTTGAAACTTTGATTTGCCAAAAGTAAAAAAGCACAAGAAATTTTGACACGAGAATTGGCTAAAGTTTAGCCTAAATGTGAAACGCTAGAATTGGCTAAAGTTTAGCCATTTAAACTGGTCCAAAGTTGAAACTCAAATTTTCCACCCAAGCTGTAAAGGTCTGAAATTCTTTTCCCAACAAAAATACTTTAAAATTTTGGATTTAAGCTCGAAATTGCCTAGCGCAGCCGTTAAAAATCTGCAAATAATTTAGCATCCGATTCTTTTGTTCAGCTTGTTTATGTAAAAATCATTTCAGTGAGCCGGGTCCAAGCGGTTTGGGCACAACCGAAGCTCTATTGAAAAGGATCGAAAAAGCAAAAAAGGAAGAATATCGAATGAGAGAAAAAATGATGCCAAAGAAAAGGGGAAGGCCGACAATGAATAGAGAAGAAAAGAAGAAAGATGGAGAACGGCATGGACAACAAAACAGACAACAAGTGCATCGACCTGAGCCATTGCTGCCGAATCCGGCTTTCGAGAAGTGAGTTTTGAGTGGAAACCGGGAATACTCTTAGTAGTGGACAATTTGAATTTCCAGTTTTCTGGAGAAATTCTGGTTGAGATTTAAAAGATTGCAAAACATAGTGTTAATTATAGACTACTTGAGATGAGAAATCAGTTTCAAAATGTAGAGTCATCGAGCAACTGATGCGATTAACATTACACGTTGATTCGATGATTGACGATCCTAATAGTCCACCCGGATTGCCGGTTGGACCGATGAACAAAGCCACGAGGACACCGGTGGGTGAAAATATGAAAATTAGAAATTGAGTGTTCCGGACAAGACCAAATACTGTCCTGGCTTTATTGCAAGCCTAGTGATCAAGGTGTTTTGATCCATCAGAAGCCAACTCCTAGACTAGCTTTTTACAGGCTGGCTACATTTAGATTCAGTTGAAACATTCGTGACTAGCACTGATTTCTGATTATATATCTATTGTGTTATAGTCCGTTTAGATCCGACCAACCGCCGAGCGAAGCGCCACCCAGGACGACGTTGTACAAGATTTGGAGCGACATTACCTTTTGATGATTGATTATTTAAGGGGAATTCCCGAATTCACCGAGATGACCCCAAAAGATCAGGTTTGTTGAAGTTGGAAGTTGAATTAGCACTTTAAAATTCAAGTTTCACTTTAATTGGTGTCAGGTGGGTTAAAAAAGAATTAATGGTTTGGTTGCGTGTCAAAATTTAAAATTGAGAAGCCAAGTTGTTGTCAGTTGTCAAATTGAGAAGCCAATTTTGTTATAGAATAAAATTTATATAATAAATTGTAAAAAAAGAGTTGCTTTAAATATTCTAATGTATTGCACACCAAGAAATACGGCTAAATTTCGATCACTGAGTTAAAGAAGCATAGATTTTATGCGTTTCGAATCTCTAGTTTCAATTTGAACCTCTACAAGGCATAAACCAAACGACCAAACGATAAACCAAACGATTCATCAAATAACAAAAATTTTCAAGTGACTTTCTTTAGGAACAACTCGCTCAACGTCGCTTTTTCCCATTCTACTGGTTCAAGCTGACCCACTATTCGTGGATGACAAAATGCCAGGGAATCGCTTATGCAAATGGGAGTTTCTATCCGGGAAGTCTCGAGCATCAACCGTGTCCCGATGTGACGTCAGTTTAATTTGGATTCAAATACTGTAAATTATCGAATAGAACGCCGTAATGACAAGGCTTAGGCGATGATCACCTTACTCCTTTTGAAACTGAATCCTTTTCAGTCGTATGGTTTCCCGTTTGGCCGCTTTGTTACCATTGTACAATTGGTTGAAATTGGACAACACCGAGATGACGCTTTTGGTGTTCGTCTTGCTGTTTCACGATGGTCAGTTTAACAAATTAAAGTCTAGATGTGCTTTTGATTGACTTTAAGACTAGGCACATATCTTGAAAATTTTAAAAACGATGCTCAAAATCTAAATTTGATACGATTCGCTTCTGGATCTCTCTTGCAAGAGATCCTGATCCAGAGTCTGAGCTTCTGGATCTCTTCCTAGAATATCTAGCTTGAATCTAATTACCAAAGAGTTTTCTTTGAATTCATTTCCTTTAATATTCCCAAGTAGCAAGCCAAATTTGAGGTGTTCCCGAATTGACGGCTGAAGGGAGAACGAAAATACGAGCGGTCGGCCAGCTTTTCCTCAAAGTTCTTCACTATTATATGCGAAGGAAATCACCACCATTGGAATATGATAAATTGGCGATTCGGATGGGACGAATCATGCTTTTCGTTGGCGACTTGACGGTCGGTGATTTTCAGGTTTCCAAATTGGGAAAGTATCGTATTTATTATAGCTTAAAAAAGTAGTGTCTGTCTGTCTGTACGAGTTTTTTCTCAGCCGTCTTTAGACAAAAAAAAACTGAAATTTTTATGCTTCAAAATGCACTTCTTTATTTCAAAAATATCGGTACCAGTGTGTACACGGTATATCTTTAACGTCACCAAACCCATTTTATATTCATATTCATCCCTTTTTCAGTGTATGACCCATTTGACGTTCTCGAATATGCAAGTACACGAGATAATGCATGTGATCAATTGGAAGAAAGCCGTCGACGGGAGATTGGCCTGGATTCATACATAAACTGTCATCTTCTCGAGTACTTTGTGCTCAAAAGTGTAAACACACTTTTTCTGGTGCACCGAATTCTTTCGTTTTCTTTTCTTCCGGGAACTGGTTGGTGTCAAGATGATGAGGGATTCAGTGCATCAGAAAGAGTGCGTTTCTACGTTTTTGAGCACAAGTACTTGAACGAATAAGGGCTATTGAATGGTGTATTCAATTGTAAAAATATATAATATGTACCTATGCACTAATCAATTAGAAATATACACTACGGGACAATGAAATATCATATTTGAAAAAACACTTTCGCACTTTCGCGCGTCTGTAACTCCGTTGTCTTTACCGTATTTCTAAATATTAATATTATCATTGTGTAGCCCTTGAAAAGGGCTTTCAGAAAATGTATAACACTAATAGTTTAAACTCAAAGATAAGGGAGTTACAGACGATCGTATTTTTCAAATATGATATTTCATTGTCCAGTACTGTATCTTGAATCTTAGAAAGATATCGATTCGATTTTGTTTCAATTTTCCACTTTGTTTTTTTTTATTATTTTTAGGCAACAATTTGGGGCATTGTTTTTTTTAAAATATTTCTAGATAACCAATTCTTGTTACTATTTAAGACTACCTATCTCTACTGATCTATTAATTTCCTATCTCTATTTCTCAATTAATTATAGATCTACCTATCTCTACCTATTGTCTTAATTAAGTCCTAATACCTAATTGATTTTTTGATTTTTTTAAAACTTTATCTTTTCCTCAATGTTTTTTCATTATCAATCAAGAATTTTGCATTTTTAGGGATCTCAAAATTTTTTTGTGCTTTTTGTTTATGAGTAGTTTGTGTTCTAAAAACTAAAGCTACAGTAGCTTGTGTTCTGAAAACTAAAACTAGAATAGTTTGCATGGCTACAGTAACCCGAATCTCTTTTAGATTTAAGTGGATGAGGCTAATTGCGAGATTCATAGGGAGACTTTTTGCGGATCAAGTTTTTCTAGCAAGTATGCTTTCTATAACATGCCATTTTCCTAAAACTATCGTAATTTTGCCTCTATTTTAATCCAATCTGTTTACTTTTTGTATCTTTCGATTTTCTTTGTGAACCCTCACAGAGCCAGGTCAAAAGTGAATAGATGCGAGAAGATTATAGTTGTAGAGACAAGATTATAGTTGTAGAAAATTGTAGATAGAAAGGTAGAAAGAGTAAGAGAGAAAGAGAAAGAAAGTAGGTAGAGAGAGAAAGTTGAGACGATGTTCTAGAAAAGATTATTGAAAGAAAGACTCTAAATGTTAAAAAGGTTACTGTAGCTTTAGCCAAATAGAATACAGTTGAATGTTTTAATGGAAAATGTTCTTCTTTGAAATCTTTAACCTTTTGAAACTTCAACCAATTCACGGATTTCAATAGTTCATTGAAGTAATTTCAAAGGTTTCAAAAGAGTGATGCTGATGGGAAAACTTTTGCAGATTCAATAATTTAACCAAAATAATAATGAAAATAATTTAACCTTTTATTTCATTTTTTGCCTAGTTGAAAATCTCCCTAGTCTTTCTCTGGGAAATCGTTAATTTTTGTGATTCGATGGTGTAAATAAATTCTATTCAATCAATTGCAAAGAAAATGATGACAAAGATGACAAAGAACAGAAATTTGAGAGAAAAAGCATTGTTTATTTTATCTAAATAGTCATCGTCTGAAAAAAGACAAATTTTCAAATCTAATCGGAATTTTTTGAGAAGCGACAAAAACAATTCGAATTAAAGCTTCAAAGGAAACCATTTCTTTCGATTGACAAAGATGTTTTCTTTTCTTTTCTTTAGTTTTCTTTGAATATAGAAACAATTTCTATGTCTATGTATTGGGTTGTTCAGTTATGAATGCGCGTTTTTAACTATTTTGTAAATTTCTCAAGGTATCGAACAGATGTATATGAGTGTTATACAGTACTGGACAATGAAATATGATATTTGAAAAACGATCGTCACTTTCGCGCGTCTGTAACTCCCTTGTCTTTACCGTATTTCTAAATATTAATCTTACCATTGTGTAGCCCTTGAAAAGAAAAAATATTTTTGCCTTTTCGCTTTTAAAACGCCTTTTCCTAAGCTCTTATTGTGTTTTTCGGAAGCTACGCATAAAACTACCCTAGAGAAAGTGGTTTTGAAGAAAAAAAATTGCCCCCCTCCACTTTATTAGTGCCAAGATCTTCAAAACGTTCAATCGTTGCTAATTTTTAGTAACTGGGGAACACTGCTTATTGTTTAAATCCAACAAGACGACTAGCTACGCCTCGTAGCGGCCAGGCACACCGCATTATCGGACTTACAGTACTGGACAATGAAATATCATATTTGAAAAACGAACGATCGTCACTTTCGCGCGTCTGTAACTCCCTTGTCTTTAAGTTTAAACTATTAGTGTTATACATTTTCTGAAAGCTCTTTTCAAGGGCTACACAATGGTAATATTAATATTTAGAAATACGGTAAAGACAAGGAAGTTACAGTGACGATCTGACTACAGAAAGTGACGACCTTTTTTCAAATACGATATTTCATTGTCCAGTAGTGTATATCATTCGAAAGCTGAAGATCTCCTCTACATTTTGGAATAAAAAGTTTTTGAATTCATTCAATTTTTTGGGAAATGACTGCACAAAGGGAGAGGTCGTTTTCGAAAAAACCCATTCCAGCTTAGCTATTCCTCAAGTTTTATGGTGTAAAATAACCGCCCAGAAAAGAAAAGAAAAGTAAAGATGCTCTGAAATTGTTATATTTAAAAGAAAGTTGTATTGATATATCTATTGGCCAAACATCAAACGGTTAACTCAATTTGAGCGGAGCCAAAACTTGATCCAAAGGTACCCTTCCATTTTTTGGCCACCTCTTCTTCTGTGCAGTCAATTTGCCCAAAAGCTGAACAAATTCAAAAACTTTTTATATTAAAATGTAGAAGAGATCTTCAGCTTTCGAATAATACTCATATATATCTTTTTCTTGATTTCTGTATCTTGATCTTGATCTTGAATTTTACAAAATAGTAAAAAACGTGCATTCATAACTGGACAACCCAATATTTCTATATCTTTGGATATAGAAAGATCTTGCTTTCGTCTGCACCGATAGACACTTTCATTTCTATATTTCCTTTCCTACAGGATGTCCAATAAAAAGAATTATCAACTGAAATCTTTGAAAACAGACTGATCATTTAGTCTTTCCCAATGTTGATTGCTTTGGGTATAAAAGATCCGTAAGGTGATTTCGTGATTTAGTGAATCATTTAGATTTAGATTCATTTAGTTTTAGCTTTTAGTAAACATACTAATCATCAAAACTTTTCCACCACGATCATCGAGGGGAATTTCAAAGCTCACCACGGAAACTAGACTCTTTTAAGCATTTTTTGCTTTACATTTCGAAAAAAATGCTTCAACATCATACAAAAGCCTCTTGCACTTTAAAAAAAGCAAACGAAAAGTGAAGTGAAAATTTAGTGTTGGTATTGGGTACAAAAGGCATTGTAGAGTTAAAGCTCGCATCAAAAATATTGACTTAAACACATCTAAAGACTTTGAAAATACTGGTACTTTTTTGTTATCTGGGGCAATCTTTTCCGTTCATTTTCCACTTGATTTTGTTTTTTTTTACTTTTAGCCTTCACTTTTTCATTTCGAACTACACTCTTTCATTTCTTACAGTTTGCGTTCACATTTTCTGTCTTTCAGTGTTCTTTATTTTCCTAGGTTTTAGCTCCGCACCTTAGTGAGCTTGCAGCACCCCGGGCTAAGCCTGATTCTAATACGGCTGAGGTGACCGAGGTTTTAAGCGCCTTGTACGCCTGGTACGAAAGTAGCTTCGGTACGAAACTCAGCTCAACCGTAGGAAAATCAGGCTTAGCTCGGTTGCTGCAAGCTCTCTAAGATCAAATTAAAAATTGGCAGCCAGCGAGTGGAATTTGTGGGGAAACTAAATTTTTTGAGATCCCCCAGATAACACAAGTTCCAATGCACTTTAAATGATCAGCAAATCAAAGCTGAAGTTTGGCGATGGCAGTTGATGCTATGGTGGTGGTGTTTTTTGTGAATAAGAGTCGTGAAATTTGAGTTGAAAGTCTTGTTTATTGGTGACCCTGTATACTCATTTGCCACAGCCTATCACTCTTCTGACCGATAAACTTTTTGATAAGAGGGAAATAAGGCCGACTGCCTGAGGTTATTTTGAGCTGTTTTGGGATGATTTATTACTATTCTTGGCAATGTTTTCAGCTTTCAAGCATTTTCAAACATTTATAAGTATCTGACGTTTCAGAGATGAAAAATTGGATACGCAGCTGTTTGATTTTGTGTAGTTTTTCATTGACCGTTTCAACAACGAACAAGTTGGTGATCGTGTAATTGCTAAAAGGCGGTTTTTGCTACAGTAATCTCAAATTTTAGCTATCAAAATGTGACATCTTTTTCGATCGATTACGATAATGATCGTTTCCTTCTCGATGGAGAGCCGTTTCGTTATTTATCCGGTGAGGGGGACCGGGTTTCAAAGTTGGCATCAAAGTTGGCATCAAATGAAGAATAGGATTGAGGCACAGATGGCTGTTAGAAACAATAAGTCCAAATAATTGAGTTTCAAATTAAGCGACTCGGGAAAAGCCTTGGAATACTTTAATTTAGAAATATTTGTATTCTGAAAGGCTGAAAATGCAAATAAATTCGAGATAGCAGTTAGTTGTTCGAAAATTCCCTTTCCAGGTTCCATTCACTATTTCCGGGTTCATCACCGCTATTGGGAGGATCGTTTGAGGCGGATGAGAGCGCTTGGATTGAACGCGATACAGACATACGTTCCATGGAATTTCCATGAGCCCGTCGAGGGGCAGTGAGTTGCAGAAACTAGAGAAAACTAGAGAAAACTAGAGAAATCTCGTGACTTTGCTGCAATATTCTTTATTTTTCGTTAAAATCTGTGTATTTTCAGATATATTTTCGACCATCAACGAGATCTCGTCGAGTTTCTGCGAATCGCGGAAAGATTGGGTCTTTACGTGCTGTTGAGACCCGGGCCATACATTTGCGCGTGAGTTCACCAAAAATCTTGCCTTTTATTGTGTGGATTTGCCTTTAAAAACTAAAGGGGGTTTCCTGGCGATTTGTATTTGGATTTAAACCTGCGCCTGATTGATAAGTTGTGCTGAATGTTATCGTTAAAAATAATAATTCACTTCAGTGAAAAATGAATAAAAAGGGTCACAAATGAAGAAAAAAAAAGTCGCCGCGACTACAGTAGGACAACACAGAAAAGGACACACTCTAACAATGCAAACAATGACTCGTAGGTGTTTGTAGATTCAACACATTGCCACTTCACTAAATTGACTAAATGAAGCAAATTGAGAACGTGTCCTAATATATAGTTCTTTTCCACAGGGAATGGGAAAACGGTGGGCTTCCGTGGTGGCTGCTGAAAAGAGAAGGGATACGAATGCGAGTCAATGATCCACTCTACACAACAGCCGTCGAAAAGTTCGCTTAGATGTTAAATGTTAAATGTTTCATGTTAAATATTAAAATGAAAAGCTAAAGCATATAACCCGAAGAAGGTGTTATTAGTTATTTAAAAAGAATTTGAAAGTTTTGAGTTGAGCATTTTGAAAAAGCAAATTTCTTAAAATTACAGATGGATGAGCGTTTTGTTACCAAAAATCGAGCCTCTTCTGCGAAAAAATGGCGGCCCGATTCTCATGGTTTGTTTTAAATTCTGATATTTATAGGCTTACTGTAATATAGTCGACAAAATAGGTACAAGTGGAGAACGAGTATGGCAGTTATGGTGGATGTGACGGCAATTACACAATTTGGTTGCGCGATCTTTACAAGAAATTTCTCGGAGAGGACACTCTTCTGTATACAAGTTTCTTTCTTCAAAGTTATAACTTTGCGCAATAGTTAGTGTCTTTTGGACCGTCATGGCCGACTGGCTAACAGTCCTGTATCTTCGTCGTATCTTAGTCGAGAGGCCTTCGTTAATTTCAATTTCCGGTTCAATCCCGTCGGTTAGATTATTGGTTTAACCTATAAGGTCACATGCAAAAGATTGAAATCAAATGAAACCGTGGAAATTCAGCGGATGGCGGTGATGAGTACTTTCTAAAATGTGGCCCAATTCCGGGTGTCTATCCAACGATCGATTTTGGGCCCACTTCATCAGAAGATGTCGATAAAGCTTTTAAAGCGCAAAGAAATCACACACCAAATCATCGGGGTGAGTTTAGAAGGAAAATATTGTCAGCAAAAGTAGGCCCATTGGTGAATTGTAGGTCCATTGGTGAATTCGGAGTACTATGTCGGATGGTTTGATATGTGGAACGCGACAAGAGATGACAGCACTCCTGATCAGATCGTCGACACGGCAAAGTTCATTTCTGATCATTGAAAAAAACGATTGTCTTTTCATTTTGATTGATTGAAGATCAAAATAAATGGAAGCTGTCAAATTTGAAATACACTTTTTATAGGAGTCTTATAGAAGTCTTTCCTTGATTTTATTGTCTAAAAGGTCGCTATTGTTCTGTTTAAAGCTCTTTTAATTTATCAAGGGGAACAGTTGTCAAGCTATATTTATAGATAATCCAAGATTAGAATCGAATATTTCTAATTTTCTTGTAGCTAATATTTATTTCAGATACATGTACGAGCTGGGAGCAAGCATCAACTTCTACTTGATACACGGCGGGACAAATTTCGGCTTTTGGAATGGTGCCGAAAATGATGGAGCGGTGAGCGTCGTAAAAATTTCCTTGACTTTATTGAGTCTGAAATGTCGCTATTGCTCTGTTTAAAACTCTTTTAATTCATCAATTCGACTTACTGTTCGCGTTACTAGAAATGTTTATCGTTTACAATTGTCTTTCAGCATATTTGAGCCTGTTTCGAAGTAATCTTGAGGAAAATTCGTAAAATTGGCATACAAGAAAACAGGCTGAACAGATTGAGCTAAAAATTTGGCTAAATGCTTAAACTTTTTATGCCCTATCTTTTTACTACTGATTACTATTGAATCTCTCTATCTATCTTTTTACTATTGATTACTATTGAAAATAGGGTTTTCCAAATCGTAGGATCTTGCAATTTGCCATTTTTGACTACTTTGCTTCTCGCCTCTCGTAAACCACAAAAACAAAAGATTTTCAGAAACTACAAAAAGCAATTTTGTCAAGAATTAATAGAGCTTTCTGATAGAAAAAACCGTAAGTCAATCGGTGAATTAGGAAGTTGTAAACAGAGCGGCAAATAGCGACAGTTCATCCTTACAGACCCAATAGATAATTCAGATAATTGTAAAGGATGAATCCAGAGAAAGATCTATTAAATAACACACAATTCCCCGCCAGCACCTTTAATTTGAAACCGACGATTTTTTCAGGTGTTGACCTCGTACAATTTCTCGGCTCCAGTTGAAGAGGATGGGAGTATCAGTGAGTAATTTCATAGTTCTTAGCAAAAATCAACAACCGTTCAATAAATAAAGACATTTGTGAACTGTTTATAGTTTACCTAAGTAAAAGAATCGAGCTTTAAGTCAGACGGCCCAAATTATTCATTTACAACCAAAGGCCGGGTTTCATCATTACCGAAAAATCGAGTTTTCAAAAGTTGTAATTGATTGAGGAAATGGATTCGGGTTTTTCCGGTTAGGAGGCGGTCAAAATGAAGGGTGATTAGAAGGGGGTTCTCAAGGAAAATCTGAATATTCAGCCTACTATTTCCACTACTTTCTATTGTAAGCTGATTGATTGATTGATCATCGACCGCTTGTTAACCTACGATTATCATTAACCGAATATAAGGAAGGCAAGAGGAACAGCCCAGGAAAAGCCCAGGAAAAGCTAGGATTCTCCCGGAAAAATGGCTTTTTGGAGGAGTATGCCGGGAAACATACCAGAAGTTTGCCTTTTTCGCGATCCTCCTAATCGCTCGACCCCCCTTCTAACCGGAAAGATTCTAATGTTAAAGTCATAAAAGTAAAAAACTTGAGACTCCAAGTACTTGGCCCTTCGCACGTGGATCAAATCGCTGAAAGATTGGAAACAAAAGCCACAAGATGTGCCGAGGAATCCAAAGTTTTTAAAAAATGAAACTTTACACAAAAAGTATTCAGAAAAATTGGCTATGGTAAAATAAAAATGGAGCACGTGGGCGGGTTGTTGGATTTACCTTCAAATCAATGTGTGGAGAGTGAAAAGCCGAAAACTTTCGAACAAATGGATCATTCGATGGGATTCATGGCTTATTCAACGGTTAGTGCAGCTAATTGCAAGTTTTGAGCCAAAAATTCATAGTAACTTTGAAGAGTTTTGTTTGTTTTTAAAAGTTTCCCGATTATGAATGAGTTATTAGGCTGTCCAGAGAGTCTTTTCGTTCCTTTTCGTCCTTTTGCTGTAAAATAACAAACTAATTAACCTATGAAAATATCTGAATTTTCAGATTCTAAAAACTTGTGGCAGAAACCTGACCTTTCCCGAGTACAAAGACTGGTTGTACGTGTTTCTGGATGGAGAGCATCAGGTTTGTCAAGTGAAATTGATTGCAGAGTTGGGGATTTTTGCTATATTCTCATTTATCGCTACAGTTTTACGTGAAATATGCTATTTTTTTTATTATTCAGGGTACTCTCTATCGTCATCCAACGCCCCATCAAACAACGGTTCAACTGAAGAACTGTCGCGTTGGGCAAGAGGTCACGATTTTGGCGGAAAACGAGGGTCGATTGACATATGAGACGATAAATGATTACAAGGTAGAGAAAAATGATCAGTAAAGTTTACTGCTTTTAATTTACTGTCAAATGGGGATGTAGTTAAAACAGTGTCATAATATTGTGCCAAAAGAAAACGTTCAAAACAATGCCGTCAAATTTCTCACGATCCAAAAACCAAATTGATTGAAGTTTTGTATCAAAGAGTTCCTTGCGTTCTTGACTAAGTGATGGGTAAAACAGTTTTAAAAAAAAAGAAACAGTTTTAGAGTTTTAGAAACAGTTAAAAGTAGAATTTCATTGATAAAACGAGACCTCAAAATGTGTCTCTAAAGATATTCAGTTAACCAATTGTGTATTCAAAGATATTCAGTTAACCAATCAAATGCCAGATTTTGTTAAACTTAAAACCTAAATATTCTACGAAAAAGCTAATTTCCTTGGGTTTTATGAGATTTTCAAAAATCAATTTCTGATTGACTTGAGATTTGCAGAGCCTAAAGCCTAAATTTGCAGGGAATTCTCGCCGATGTTTCCCTTGATTCAACGAAACTCTCCGATTGGAACACTTGCACGATTCAGATTGGAAAGGGGGAGAAATTTCAAGAGAAAACGCTGCAAAAGCTGAAAAAACTGAAGGCAAAAGGACAAAATAATGTGAGTTTCTCATGGGTTTTTGTGATAGATTAAGAAGTTAGGAAAACTTGGGAGATTTTAGTTGACTTAAGCAAGAAAAGACTACGGGCATCTTGCAGAAGAAACACCCAAAACTCGCTAAAGTTGAAGGCTTTGTTCAAATAGAGAAATTTTGACTTCCACTGCTGATATTTTAAAAATACAAACTTGTTTCAGAAAGTTCTTCACGGAGTTTTCACCGGCACATTCAACATTGAGAAGGGCAATCTCGCCGACACGTTTATCGATTTCTCCAATTGGGGAAAGGGCCTCATTTTGGTGAATGGACACAATATTGGAAGATATTGGAAGATTGGACCACAGGTTAGCACCGATAGATTAGAAAGCATTCGAGAAATTGATGATAAATGTTCTAGTTGTCTTTTTTCTAGTTGTCTCTGTTCTAGTTTGCCCTCTACGTGCCAAAGCACTTCTTGAAAGAGGGAGGGAATCGAATTTTCGTCATCGAGCTTTTCCACAAATATTTTGGTGAGTGTATACAGGTATTCTGACTAAAGTGTTTTCCTGTCAAGGTTACAGTGTTTTAAAAAGTGTCCCATTTCTCTTTCTACCGTAATCATCTCTATTTTTATCAAATCTATCTACTTTTTGTCTCACCGGTTCACAAAGAATATCAAAAGATCTAAAAAAAGAGATTATACAGTACTGGACAATGAAATATGATATTTGAAAAACGATCGTCACTTTCGCGCGTCTGTAACTCCCTTGTCTTTAAGTTTAAACTATTAGTGTTATACATTTTCTGAAAGCTCTTTTCAAGGGCTACACAATGGTAATATTAATATTTAGAAATACGGTAAAGACAAGGGAGTTACAGACGGGCGAAAGTGATGATCTTTTTTTCAAATATGATATTTCATTATCCAGTAGTGTATTAGAGTTTTCAAAGTTACAGATTGTAACGCAAAGCACAAATGCAAGATTGAGTCGATTGATCACGGAATTTGGCGATACAATAGCACAATGAAAATTCGTTTCACTTACAAAAGGCCGTAGAGCAGAGTGTTTCAATTTGGTCAACTTCACTTTTAATTTGAAACCACTAATCATTTAATATACTTAAACTTTTATTAAAATTAAAAATTTTATTAGCAAAAACACCAGTCATTTAATCAACACTAGAACTGAAAAAAAAACAATCACACAGTGATCACAAGCATTTGGTTTAACAAAAACGACATAAAACTTACAATGAAAAAAACATTGAAACATAAAATATTCTACTCGAAATTTGTTTTGTGAGGAGACCCGTGGAAAAGAAGAAATGAGCGTGAAAAGCACGAAGAGAAATATCGGAAATGATGGCATTGAAAAGAAAACAATTATTAGAATAGAATGAAAATTTTTGAGTGTAGCCGTCTCATTTGTGGTCTATATCTCTATCACTCGTAAAATGAAATCCGTTTGAGGTACAATACCGTTAAACTTTACAAGACATCAATACTATACCACCAAAAAATAAGGCGTGTAAGGCTTGACGTTTAATGCCTTTTTACTAAATGGGTTAAATTGATAGACTCAATATTTAAAATTAAAACTTAAAAGCGCTTGGTCACTGATTTAGTTGCATGCTTTAAAATCGTTGAATTCAAAAGCCTCGAGATCTTTAAAAAAATCAGTAATCTAGATTTCTCCTCTCTTGTGGGTAATCGATTGGATTTAGTTCATTATGTAATTTTGTTTTCCATTAATTTCTGTTTCTTAAGGTATTGACACCTCTATGTATTGAAAAGTTCTTCTTTTTTTCACTTTACTTCATCTCTTGAACAAAGTATCTATATAAATACTACTTGCCTTGTCGGGTATAACGGTATTCTGCCCAGTTTGACTTAGATTTTCGTAGTACTTAACGACATTTAAGGGCTTTAAAATAAAAGATCTTCAAGCGATTCCCTCATTGTTCATCTCGCCCATCAAAAACAGAAAACCGACGCCAAATGCGATGCCGATGACCTAAGTTTTGAGTTTTTGAGTTTACGTTGAGTGGGACTGGTCACAAAATGGTCACAATGATCACAATGGTCCAACCTGCAAAATGGTGACAATGAAGGATTCTTTCAGATCCTCTTTCGCCAATTCGTGACATGATTCGCGAATTTCAGGGATCTGGAATAATTGTTTTTATTGCATATTGATTAAAGTCATAAAACACCCTTACAAGACGCTTAACGCTTAAGAAAAAATGTTTCCACTGACCAATGTTCCGAGAAAAATGTAGAGATACATTCCAGAGGAGATCGCAAAAATGTAATCATCGTAGCCTTCGTCCACCTGGAATCGATATCGATCAAGAATTTCCAAGTTTCAATGTTTGGAGCATCAAAAGCAATTTTTACCAGTTAATCATTTTTCTCTTAGTTTTTTTAAAAGATTTCTTCTGCTTTCACAAATGGCGTTTCAAAATGAAACCTAATCAATTTCAGTAACCAATTGAGTATTCTGTGTTTCAATATTTTAAATGGTTTTGTTTGTTTGCTTGAAATTTGAAATGCATTACCTCATCCAGCAGCACTCCAACAGCAAACCCAATATACGAGAGAACGATCGGGATCATATTGTAGATCAACGCTTTCTTGAAACCCAATCCAGAGTTCATCAGAATGGCGAGGGTTCCTAAAATGGTTGACATGTGAATGGAGTAATGCATAGAGTTGAAAATCAAATTCTTTTACCCAATTCCTGTGGAAATTGCTCGGAAAACACGGCCGTTCCAATGCTCAAACCGCCCAAAATGCTGTCAGCGAAGGCGGCTCCTAAAATAAATAGCTTGTTTCAAAATGGACGGGCCTAATTGGGCAAAGCTTTGATTGATTTCAGATTTCTGTTCCGAATTCCAGGCAAATTATTTCATTCTACAAGAAATAGCAACCATCAATCAGCATCAATATTCTCCATTTTTATCGATGATTTCTTTCCATCTTCAATGCACCTTGATTCCATTTGTGAAAAATTGGGGGTTTTTGGAGCCAAAATAGTTGTCGACCGCTTTTTTTGACTTGAGCATGATCATCGAACTTTTCTCCCATGATAAACTGGACTGAAGTCTGACGGACTCGCTAAGTCAGGAGAATAAAGCGCCTGAGGATGCAACTTCCACCCCAGCTCGTCAAATTTCTTGCGAGTGACTATTGCAGTGTGGAGTTTCTATCGGACAAAAATCGAATTTTTGATGGATTGAGCCCCAATTTCTTTAAAGCATCGTTGACTCTAGTCAATCGTTTTGAATAGAGATCAGCATCAATGTTTTCTCCTGGATAGTGGAACTAACTCATAGTGCACCAAATCTTTTGAGTTCCACCAGCAACAGAGCATTATTTTCTTTTCATGAATATCAGATTTGGGAGTGCTTTGAGGGATTTATCTGGTATATAGCTATTGGTTCTTCACTTGACATTCTCGTAATTAATCCAAGTTTCATCAGATGTCAAAATCGAATCCCAAAAACCACTAGCTTTGCAAAGAACTGAGGTTGATAGGAGTTGTTTTTTGTCTTGACTCAGTTCGTGCGGATCCATTTTCCACAACGTCGACTTTGTCGACTGTCTTCTGATCAACATCACGAGTCGTGAGTGTTTGATTGAAGTCAATTTCAATTCCCAATTTGAAATCCAAAATGTGCATTATCTTATTCTCGATCTAATATAATTAGATACTTATTATTAAATTAGATTCCGAAAAATTTACCCAACGACATCCCGTCGACGAAATTGTTCGCACTTGAGCCAAAAATGATCATATAGGCGACCGCGGCAACCTGGAATTTAAGGAGAAAATTTCTTGCTCTAGCTTGTATTTTGAAACCTAGCTTGTTTTATTAATTTGATCAGTTTTAGAAAAGTTTAGCTCTAAAAAAGTTTTAGTATTGTCCTCCAACCTCGATTTTCGCCGGTTCGAAGACCTTTTTCTCGACAACTTGAATGTCAAGTGATATCGAATCGTCTTCGGATGGCTGAAAAAGTTAATGGATATTAATGAAAAATACAGTTGAAAACTTAAAGCTTTAACTAAAAATAAAGTTTCAATTTATTCACCCGTTGATTGTTTACATAAATGACAGGTGGATCCACTGATTTCCGGCGAGCATCTGACGCTGAGAATTTGAGAGCGGGAAGACTCTGAAATGGTTGAATTACTAAAATTACTAAAATTACTAATTACTAAAAGTTCTAAAAATTATCTGGATAAGAAAAATAGCAAGAAAATAACAAGAAAATATATAATTTTCAGAAACTGACTCTTTGTTGGATCTCTTCGTTAACCGACTTCAGAAAATCGTTTCCCTGAAAGCGAAAATTTTTGAGGTCTCAAGTTTTTCTCCATCAAGTAAGAAACAGCTCATTTAATTATCTGTATTTGCTTCCACAGCTTACAAGGTATTAGGAACTTGCAAAAGAAACTGCGGATTACTTCCGAGGACCGAGGATTTTTGGGTTCTTCGAATGTTGATTATATAATATGGATACATGGAGAACATATTACTAATTCTATAATATTTTTTAAAATCCTTACTTCACATTTCGAATTTCGCCCATTCTCATCCCGAAATTCCATTCGATCCAACTTGTCGACGGCCCGCAAAACAGCCATTCGTTTCCGCGTCGAGAACTGGAAAGGGTACTTATTATGGGTATTGTCACGTACTGATGATTATTGTCACGTGCTTAAACGCGTGTTACTCCACGAGGTTTGTTCCAAATCTCATAAGTAACATACCAAAATGTTGCTAAGAGTTTAGGGGAATCTAAATCTATACATGGATTTTTGAGACAATTATTATGAAAGATTTTATTGCGATTCTTGTGCTTTTCAAAAAATGCACCTTTCCCGCTGCTTGTTCTTTTAAAGTTTAGTGCTAAATATTTCTTGTGAAGAATGCTCAGAAGATCAAAATCACAAAGTGCTTCAAATTTTGGCGCCAATTTTTTTTAAAAGTTAAAACCGGATGTGTAAGATCATATTTGGTTGACTTTTAGACACGTGTTTTTTGCTTTTTTTTAAGAGAGCTACAAAGAGCATTACAATTCTTTGAGGCAAATTCCAAATTATTTCAGCAAGAGAACATTTAGGGCAACATTTTAAAGCAAAATTTAAAAACTTAGCTGAATAAATAAAAATTCTACTTGTATGAGAAGCTTAGAACTGACCTCAGGCAAAGTGCCTTTTTTGAAAGGCACAAGAATCACAATAAAATCTTTCACGGTCATTGTCTCAAAATTCATGTTTATATTTAGATTCCTTAAACTCTTAGCAACATTTTGGTATGTTACTTATGAGATTCGAAACTAACCTCGTGGATTAACACGCGTTCAAGCACGCGACAATACTCATTAGCCACTCTGTACTCAAAGATTGAGTTTTGGATGCAAAAAAATGATAATCTTGCTCTACGTTCTCGAAATTAAAGTCTAATTTAAACCAACCGTTCTCGTGAAATTGTTGTTGATCATCGCGATCTCGAGCTCGTCCTGCAAAAAGTGAATTTTTCAAATTGCTTAAGATTAATGGAAAGGCAATGGATTTAATATGCGGTGGCTTCCCACTTCAAATCAACCAATCAACAAATCAGCTCATCTACCTTCAGTTCATTTTTCTCGGCTTCATTTCTCTTTTTCTTTTCTTGATCTCTCGTTGAGCGATCGCTGCTTCGATCCGAATTCACGTCTGTAAATTGAACATTTTCAAACGTCTGCTCTTGTCTTGTTAAAACCCAAAGCGTAAATTTCGTCTTTACTATTGTAAGTTCAAAATAATTTAACTTAAAAACCTGTGTTTTCTGTAAAATTCCTTCCATCTGTCCTTTTCATCAGCGAGTTAAGCGTCGATTTGTGGATTTTCCGGCGGGTGATGTGACGCTGAAAAAAAGACGATTTTCTAGTCTTCAGCTAGTCTTCAGCTTCAGCTTCAGCAAAACTAGTCTTCGGCTGTCTCGTTAGAATGTTATTCAACACGGGTTCTGTTCCAAAATCACAGATTTCTTAATCTTTTTAAACATTTACATTTCTCAACTCCAGCCCATACATCAGCATTCGATCGACCGAGAAAAATGTGTACAGCGCGCCGATGATGATCCAACATTTCACTTTGTAATCATATTGACCAGCAAGTTCAACCAGATTGAATGCCTAAGTACACAAAGTACAAAAGTGTCTAACTAGTAAGTACACAAATTAACTTCACCAAATTATATAACTTTAAGAAATCATTATTCGTTTGGGGAGCTTAGTGAGATTAAATAAATTAAAACGCACTAAACAAAACTATCAAAACTATTAAAACTATCAAAACTATTAAAACTATCAAAACTATCATCAATACAATCAAAATTAAGTTATCAAAAATAAAAGAGTAATAAAAGCCTTAAAAGAAAAGGGGAAAAAAGCAAATATTAAAAGTTAGTTGGTGAATCGTACCCGATTTTCTTAAGGCACCCGTTACACAGTTAAAGTACCTTATTTCTTAAAGGTACACGACTTTTTAAGGTACCTAGTGATAGGAAAGAGTCTTCATTTTTTCTGTTTGCCTGTAGAAAGGTCCGGATTAGTCACTTGAGAGATTAAACGAGCTAAAGCGAATAAATTGCCAAAACTATTGTGTCTTAATTTTCGCATTGATTCCCGCTATGCCTTAGCTTTGAAACTGAAGTTCTTGAACGAGTTTCTTGAACGAGTTTCCAGTTCACGGGAATCCACCCAATTTCTCGCCTCAATATCTGTTTTTGACTCAAATGGATCGGAAATATTCTCCCTTTTCATCGATTTCATGGTTTTTCTGAATCGAGCAAAATCCCCTCTTTTTTTCAATAATCTTTCAATAATCTTTCAATAGGATCTTTATAAAATGACGTGAGAGGAGAAAATACAAAAAAGATGAAGAGATTGAGATTAAAAGGTTATAAAGACTTTTCAATGCTCAGCAGATTGTTCTGCCAAAAGGAATAGGGAGTGAAAAGAGGGAGAAGAGTCATTTCGGTTAGTTAAAGTAAACAAAATTTTGTAATTTCGAGGTAGTAGACGGGCAAAATATTATGTTTCAGACTTGGACTTTTGATTTTGAAAACAAGAATCGTGCAAAAATCTTATTGCTCAAAATTCCTGTGCGAGAAAAAGTGAGTTTCAATTTGAACGGGTTGAAAGTGTGATGAGAAACAAATCAATGAATGGTCTTGCTTTTAAAAGCAATCTTACCATTAGAAATATTATGAACCCATTGATAGAATCGCTACAGATTCCTGCATATCTATTAAATCCCTCGGGTAAATTTATTATTTGTTTTTTGAAACCTGAATTTTGAGACGGTACTTTGTATCATTACTGTACTTTAAAATATCATTAACGGCATCCTGGATGAATTAGATTTTAATAAATTAGCAATTCGCTTTTTCAATGAGAATGTTCGCTTTAAGCTGTTACAATAGATCCATTTATAATCGTTTAAAACAAAGTTAGCCGGTTTCGTTGAGCTGCTTTGTTTTAAAACGTACTTGTTTTAAAGTACTTTGTTCCCGTCTGGTTTTTAAATTTTTTACTATTTGGCTTATTCAGAATGGAACCAAGTGATTTTTTTTCATTTTTAGCTTCAGAAAACTTTAGAAGAGCACCCACTTGTGGAATCATGACGAAAAGTGTCGAGCCAGAGAGGGCACCTGAAGATTTGAAGTTGAACCTTTTAATAATGTCTAGTATTACTTGATTCTTAGGCAATGACTCGATTAACTTTTAAAGTTTCAAGTCCACTGGGGACTAGGCCTTCAACTGGCTCTACGAAATTTCGGGAATTTTAACAATAATTTTACTAATGCCATCGTTAAGTGCTTTTCCCAAACGTTGTGTTTTTCAGTGCTCAGTTGAAAAGAGTCAAAATTTAACATATCTATATGAACAGCGAAACTTAAAATCTGTTGTTTTGTGGTTCTGAATAAAAACCATTAAATAAAACCAAAAACCGATGACAAAAACGAAATAATTTCAGAAACAACAACAAAATGACATTTTCAGGTTGAATTTAATGATAAAATCTTGTTTTTAGGCTCTATTACCCATACAAGATTTCAATATTTCACGAGTTTTTGAATTAAAAGATGGAAAATCTTTTGAAATTAACGAAAAACGTAAAGAAAACCGTGCAGCGCGGATATAAACATTGCTTAAAATTCCTGAAGTGAACGTTTCCCGAAATTTAGTAAAGTCCTTCAACTTGTAAGCAGTTTAACCTCGTTGATGTCTGATGGTTTGAAAAAAGATGTCTGATGGTTATCAAGCTTTATGCAAGTTAGCCATACTGCTTATGCTAATGTTAATAAATATAAGTTACCATTTAAATAATGAATTTCAAACATTTTGGAACAAATGCTTCAATGTGTACTTCAAATCAAATTCAAATCAAATTCAAAATCAAATTCAAAGAATTCCCCACCAATCCCGAGAGCAATGAGAAACGTCATGATTCGCTCGTAGGTTTTCTTCTGAAATAGCGGCACAACGAGCATTCCGAGGGGAGCCGAGAATGAGCATCCCGTCACGACCAACAAACCGAACACCCACGCTGCAAATTTTGTGTACAAATTTTGAGTCAATGACACGTAGCAATGATTTTCAGCAATAAATCGGTTCTTTTCAAACTGCTGATTGTTTTACTTTTTGAAATCATTAATTTCAAATGATTTCTGTAAACGAACTTACAATCACCCCTGATTTTGAAAAACGAAAACTCAAACGTGGTGCTCTCTAGATTTCTTGAACAACTTGAGGAAAAAAACTTATCGAAATTTAGGATCTTTTAGGAGAAAATGAACACACGGAATGGGGTGAAAAGACAAGGCCGATTTGGAAAAGATTGGGGAAGGGGAAGATGGGCAGTGCACGGGATCGAGTGACAAAGTTTTCTTTGCGGGGAATCCCCTTCCGACCATCGATGGGCCTTTGATCTTTTGGGAGAAATGAAAATTTTTGATTTTGTTTATGACACTGGTAGGCAATCTACTGTAAGCAATAAATATACTAACATATAATTGGCCTTTCTAATGAAACAAACCGTAGCTCAATTGGTGCATTTGTTGGTTTTAGACGAAAGTACGAAAAGGGACAAAAAGACTTTCTGGGCAGCCTAATAGATTCAAACTAAACTGAAAGTTAAAGATTGTTCTCTTCGGAAGTTTAGGTCTTTGTTTTTTGTAAGCTAAAAATGGTGTTTTCAAGATATGTGAGGTTAAATTTGGGTCTGTATTGCTAATGAAGTAAAGAAAAGAAAGCTCTCACGATTTTTGGTTGTTCAGCAATGTGTGCAATTTAGTGACGAGATTTAGAAGCAACACATGAACAAATCTCTTAATCTCAATTAAAGAAAGAGAATCTCAATTGTAAAGATATAAGTGTTGTCAACTACAGTCAACTCTCGATATAACGACTCTCGAGCTAATGATTTGCTCGATATAACGAATCATCCCGGCCAAGTGGTTAACGGCCAAGTGGTTAACGGCGAAGTGGTTAACGGCCAAGTGTCCCGGCCAAGTGCTTAACGAAATATTTTAAGTCGACTCCCGATATAACGACTTTTGATATAATATTTCCATTTCGCGGTCCCGACAGAATTGTTATATCGAGAGTCGACTGCAAATACTTTTACTTCGACATACTGACATTCTGTAGCACGTCAGTGCTACAGAAATCATGCACCAAAGCACACTCTGAAAAAGTGGTCGCTCAAAACTTCTCAAAGAATCCCTCAATTTCGAAATTTCTTTGATAAATTGCCATGAAATTTCCGATTTCTTCGACATCAATGTTTAAATAAATTTTTCGAAAAACTCTTTAACACTTTGAAAACTGTAAAAAAAACTCGAGTTAAAAGTGAGGAGAGGCACAAAAAGCGCGAAAATTTAAGCGGTGGAAAATCGGAGATCGTTATCTGCGCGTGAAAGCGACGAGGAAAACCTTCGATTTTTGAGCCGATCACACAAAAATGTTCTCCCGGATTGAGGAAAGGTTCATCAGGATTGATAATGCATTTCAAATATCGATGCGAGAGTTCAATGAAAACTTTGGAACTTGAACTTGAAAGCTTTTGAAATTCAAATTCGATTCTTCAGATTCATCAGCTAAGAAAATAAAGCAAAGAGGCTTTTTTGAACTTTAAAGAATCCCAGTTTCAAATTTTTCTACGCCAAATACCCTTTGCTGTATTTAGTCGCTCTAGTACATGCAATATTTGTAGTTGACGTTGTTTTTTTTAAAGTTTTATTTCCTAGTGTTCATCTTTGACTTTGTATTGTTGTTTAGGATTTGTGAAAGCTATTCCATCTCGAGAAATCGTTTCCCCTTTACCCCACAAAGATCTCAAGTGTGGACGCGCACGGATTTCATCCCTCTTTGTTCATTTTGTCAAAAAAAAAGAACGAGAAGTCTTGTCTGACTTTTCGAAGAAAATAACGTCTTTGCAAATAAACAATAATCTACTATACATAAAAAAGTAGTGTCTGTCTGTCTGTCTGTCTGTCTATCTGTCTGTCTATCTGTCTGTCTATCTGTCTGTCTGTCTGTCTGTCTGTCCATACACGCGAGTTCTCGCCTTCTCGTCGACCGATTTAGATGATTTTTAGTTTGTTAGGCTTAGAATTCTATGTAGTTGTGCTCATATTTCGTTTTGTAAAAGCAAAATTTACGATATAGCCGGGAGTCGAACCGTAGACAAGCGCGCTACTCACTGCGCCAAAGTTGAATAGCGAAAGTTTACTTACGCAAATTAGCAATCAAGTTATTTTGACATCTATTTATCTACGACGACTAATCTGAGTGCTTCACCAAACTTGTCAAAGTTGAAACTAGGTTTGTTCTAAAGCCGTTTTTTCAAGCCTGAGCCAAACCTAGTTCGCTTTAGTAAAAACCTGCTCAAAAAGCACCAAGTTTCTGGTCTGGCCTTGTCTGGCTTAAATTGGGCTGGCTTACAGGATCTAGATCCAGATTGGAACTTAATTATCCCCTAGGTAAAACATATATTTCTTACGTTTAATTTCAAATTGAGCGTGCACAGGAATCTAAAACTTTGAAAAGGCAGATCCATTAAATAACTAAATGATTGGCTCTTCATTAAGTGTTGACCAAATTGAAACATTCATATTTTACCCAAATGATAATCTCATTTCATTTGTGAAACGCGTAGCCCTTCACTTGATAACTTTCATCACAGAGATTGTTTCCAATTTTTGGGTGGATTATTCGGTTTTTTTGAGGAGGAAATGGACAAAACATCGAAAATCTCTCTCGCAAAATCTGCATCGCGGAGTAAGGGGCAAAAAATTGATCCGACTCGAAAGTCGTAAAATTTTTTGGGAGACTGAAGAGAAGAGGAAAATCTCGATGAGTTCAAAATTCAAATCACCTAATTTATTTGGGGATTGTAAGGCTTAAAAGGGAGTCAAAAATGTAGACTGGAGAGGGGAATTGATTGATCGAGTTAGGGTGAGGAAGTCGATAAGATTGGAAAAAAAACTTATTTTAAAAGGTTAACAAGGTCAAAAACTGTAGTTTCTGATCAAATGATTGTTTTTAAAACTTGGCTTTAAAATTGGTATGGCTCCAAATATCAGTGCTTAGATCCTTGGGTTGTAAGAAAATTCCTTCAAAATTCTGCTCAATCGGACAGCTAATAAAGTCAATGTTTCAAATTTTTGTCAATAAAAGATGAAAGTTCTATTTTAATTTTCCGGTCCATTTGATTAATTTTCGTAATTGCAAAGGTGCGAACTACTGTGCAGGACTTTCTTTCAAAATGAATCATTCCAGAAGACTAATTGATTCTCATTTATTATCGAAATTTGTTTTTCATTGTCAGTGTTTTAAAAAGAATCACAAAATGCCTATAAAGATTACTCTATTTCGTAGGTTTGATCTGAAGAAGGCAAACAACTTCGAGTAACATTTCAAACTTTTCAGCTCTTGGAATAGAACTTTAGTTTTAACCATAAATGCTTCTGTTTAATTTAAGTTCAAAAGATATTATGTTTATTCTTAGATTATTTTCCCATCGTTCATGAGAATCGATTGATCTTTTGGCCAAATGTTCGGTTCGGTGTGAAATTTCAAAGTTTTCAAAAGTGGGTTCCAAATTTTTCGACTCTAGTCACCGGCTTGCTTTGATAGTGAGAAGAGATGGTTTGCAACAAAGTAATGGATAATTTTCTTGAAGGAAATTGGTCCGGTTAATTTTAATTTAAGCCTAAATTTGATGAAGAATTGCCAGATCTTGGTCGAATTTGAACACTGGTACAGAAAACCCAACCTATACAAAAGAAATTCCCCAATTTTTGATTTCCTGACAGTCCTGACCACAAAAAAAGATATCGAATAATCGAGTCACGACTTGTACCGAACAAAGCCAAATAATAAACAATATTATCTTGTGAAGACGGGGGAAAACATGTCCTTATTTACTGAATTGAAGAATTGAGTGGAGGTAAATATGACCGCAAAAAAGAAAAGGAGAGAAAAGAATCGGAAAAGAAGAATGAATGGGGGAAGTGATCAGGAGTGGAATGTGCGAGAGTTTCAAGATAATCAAAAATGAAGATTGGATGGAATTGTGGGACAATAGGATAACACCAGAACTCATCAAAACAGAACACAAAACAAAACATAAGTGAACGCCTTGGAAATGAAGCGTGCCTGATCAATTTCAAATGAGTTTCGTCTTTTAGAACTTAAATTTAATTTGTTGAATAGATTTTAGATCCAATAATGCCTAAAGTGTCAAAACAATTCTGAAAATGGTTAAAATGATCCAAAATTCAACTTGGATCAAGCGAAAAGCGAAAAGCTAGTTTTTTTAGAACTTTTGGAGTCCTTTGGAATAGTTTTTTTCAGCTAAAATTTAAAAACCATTGATTTATGAAAAACAAAATATTATTAGCTATTGAAGGGACCATTCTTATTGAAAAAGTTTTAGTTTTATTTAGAGTTACTTGTGAAGTCCAGGAGCAATAAAAGAAGATTTCAAAGTGGAGGTCTTCCGAGTAAAAGTTGCTCTCTTAATGATGAGAAAATAAACTGGTAAACATAATTAGATTTGTAGTTGGCAACAATTTCGATTAACACCGTATTTTGCGACTCACTTTCCCATGCGGGCGGCTCTTCCATTTCCTCGATGATTCGCGTGTAATTTTTGAGTTGCTCGAGTTCACGAGACGAATTCTGCAAGACGCCCGCCAGAACGGCATTGCTTTTCTGGAAAAGGGAAATGGGTGATTGAACAAGAAATCAACTTTCGCTTGGTCTCTTTTGTGATTTTTAAATTCTAGGCTTACACGAGAAAGGCACCGAGTCAATCTGCCCTTTTGACTCGAGACCAAGTCCACCTTATAGAGACGGCCATCAGGATCTCGAATCCGTTTTTAGTTTTTGCAGAACGTTTTTTGAATTGTCACACATGACATTTGAAAATTGATAGGTATTGAAATTTCTAGAAACAGTAAGTTATGGAATAGTTTTTAGATCAAGCACCAATTGTTACGTCTTCAAAATTAACCATGAATACAGTAGTACTTAGGAAACAGTCAGTTCTACCACTTACCTCTATTAAAGAAACACCCATCAAGTGGTGGATGATGTAAAAAGTGGAATATGGTGTAAAATAAAGGACTTTCTTTGAGGAAGGAGATTCGATCAGATCGGGAGGAGTGAAGGGGATGAGGGAGTGGGAGGGGAAGGGGTGGACCCAACCCCCTTCCCCTCCCCCTTCCAATCCCTCCCTCCCCATCCCCTGTTTCGTTTCTCTTTTCAAAATCTCTCAATTTTCACGTTCTCTACTGTTTTGTTCCTTTTTGTGTTCACACTCTTTCTTCAGATCTAAAAACTGATTCGGGATATGGTAGAAACAAATATCAATTGCCAATCAAGGAAGAGCGTTCAATCACCTCCACTCCCGAACTGGGATTGGTGATGAACTGGACCAAAACTGTAGAAACAAGAAACTCTAAAGGCTAGGGCTAATATCTTCAAAGATCAAGGGCTGCTCTTCCATGTGTACTTTGTGCTAAACGTACCCTTTCTGGTGGCGGGGTATATGAGCAGAATACTTTCTTGGCATATTCATTGGTTGGGTACTTATGGGTTTTACCCCGCAATACTATTTACTCTATAGTAGAGTATTTTGAAATGGTTCTACAATTTCTTTTGTTCTATAAACATTGCTCAGATGAGATATGAAGCCAAAAGTTTGTACCCAAGGGTTTTCGAGGTCGGGGAAGCGATTGGCAGGGTTCGTTTGTTGTATCTCCAAGCAAAATCTAATTTGTGCTGAGCTTGAGCCATTTTTCCCGTATTTTGGCTACAAACAATTATCGCGAGGGTATAACCCATAAGAACCAACAGCATAAGAAATTAGAGATTCTTGTTGCTGTCTTGATGCTAAAAATGATAAGCCATGGGAAAGTTTGCTTTTTGGAAAAAAAAGCAGGCAGACAGAGGAATTGATTCCTTTCAAAGATCAGAGGTAAATAAACAAAAAAATGCTAACAATAAATAATAAATAAAGAGATAAAAAGTCCAGATCAACATTTCTAAATAACAAGAGAAAGTTCCTCAACACAAAAGCTCATCTGCTCAAATTTCATAAGCCATCGTGCATCGTGGGTATAAAATGAAACCATCACTCTGAAAAGTTAACGTCTAGAATTCTGGAATTTAAAATCTTTGAGGAAGGATTGAAAGCCCTCTGTCAAAGCTGCAGCAAAATGAATTCCGTCAATCGATTCCCCGACCTCGAAAACCGCCGATTACAAATTTACAGCTGAAGATCTTCTTTTGGGGCCATCAACAAAGCAAAGAAAAATCCCTATGTAAATGAATGGCAAGCTGTTCTTTGTGGTGCCGCGTAATCACTCTCCATCTGGCATACCCCTCTGGTATAGGGTGCCTCGTCTAGTAACCTTAAACAAAAGAACAATCCGAAAGGGAAGCAAACCGCAGCACCGGCTTTTCTTTTTTTTCTGGCTTTTACTGGCTGGGTGTTTTGTGGCTAACGCATAGTTTTTGTCACCGTGGCAGATTCGGGACCGCGCTTGTCTGCGGCCCACACGACCTGGATTTGACCCCCGTAGTGGCACTCAATTTCTACTTTTTTATTTTGTAATGTCACAACTACATTATATTTTGAGACTTTAAATAGATTTAAGTTTTTTTGGCCGAAAGACGACTGAGAAAAAGCCCGCACAGACGGACGGACAAACACTGCTCTTTCAGATAGAGTGGTCAAAAAAGTCTTGATACCTTTTCTCTTTTTTTCTCCTGTTACGTTAGAGCTTTGCTGATTTTTATGATATTGTTTCTTTTTAGAGATGCTCTGCAATACATCGATAGTCCCACAAAGAAGCGAATCGTTGAAGCCCCGAAAAGCCGGACTCAAAGTCAGTGTGATTCAAAACCTCTTCTCCGTTTCGAAGATGACAATATGCAGGCTCTGCAATCGGATGAAAGAGCGTGGAAATGTGCACCGATTAAAGAAAAAAGGCCGACAACCAAAAACAACGTCTGGACAAGACCGGGCCCTTCGGCATTTCTTCGCCTCGGCTCCGGATTTCACAGCCACAGACGGGAAAAATTACTTAAAAAGGGAATTTGGGATTGATGTAACTTCGCAAACGATTCGAAATCGAGTGAAATTTCTCGGGTTGTTTTACGACGACCTGCTCGTAAACCTTTGATGGTTCTTAGACGCAGGAGGCTTCGTTTGGAATTCGCCCGCACCTACCAACATTGGTTGAGCGATGACCGGAAACGTGTCTTTTGGAATGATGAAACTAAGTTCAACTTGTTGAACAGTAATGGCAACTACACCATCAAGAGACCCACTGGAACACGATACAACTTGAAATACATTCGACAGACTGTCAAATTCAACGGAGGAGGTATACTGTGTTGGGGCTTTTTTTTCTTCAAACTCAGTCGGACCTCTAGTGCCTATAGATGGAATCATGGACAGTGTGAAATGTCGGTGCACATATGATGCAAAATGATATGCTTCCTTACGCAAATGTAGCAATGAGTCCAAACGAGCTGTCCCAGCAGGATGGGGATCCAAAACATAAAAGTGAATTGATGTTGGGACAAAAGCTGAAGATCCGACCTGAAGTTTTTGTGAGATTGCTGGTTTCGGCTCAACAATGTTAATTTGCTGCGAACACCACCCTATTCGCCGGATTGTAACCCTATTGAACATTTATGGGTAAACATGTCAAACGAAAATTGTGAGATTCCGCTTTGCCTCAAAAAATGAGCTTTGGGACAAGGTTCAGTCTATTTGGAGCTCAATTTCACAAAGAACCACGGAAAAATTGATTGCAAATATGCCAAAGCGACTTCAGGAGATTATAAAAGCTAAAGAAGGCCCAACGCGATACTGAATTTTGTTAGAAAGAAATAACTTTTGAAAAGGTATCAAGACTTTTTTTGCTTTATTTTTTGCATTTTTTAATTTTTCGTAAATAAATAGTTTTTGTAAATAGTATTTTTATGTTAATTATAAGTTTCTAACTTTGTTTTATCTAATGAAACAAAAACGAGCTGAATCAAATATTTCTGGATACTCAGTTTGCTAATCTTTTGAAAGGTATCAAGACTTTTTTGATCACTGTATAGTAGATTCTAATTATGCTGTTTTTAAAATCCTAATGTTTATTTTAAATATCTAGGTCTTTTATATTCGATACAGTTGTTTCCAATGCTGATTAGAACTTGAAAATGGTTGCTTGGCGGAATATTGAACTGATTCATTCTCAATCGATTTACTTCAACTTGAAACTAATCAAATTTCATGAAAAGAGATTAAGATTTTAATGGTTTTGACGCTCTGATACAATTGCTTTCTTACTTACAATTAGCTAATTAACACTTGAAAATGAATGTTATCATTTACTTCAACTTGAAACTAATCAAATTTCATTTGTGAAAACAGATTAGGATTTTATGGCTTGTCACGTTCTGATATGATTCCTTTTTTACTTACAATTAGCTAATTAAAACTTGAAAATGAATCCTTTTCAATTAACCGTGAACAATTTAAAATCAATAATTAGCAACTTGCTAGCAAAATAGATAGATTAAGACAAGCAAATCGGGTACGGTAGCACTGCTGAACAATATCAAACAATATTCTATCCTGGTGGTCACTGTGCTCAAATTTTTGCCTTAAATTTGTTAGTTGATTCTGCATAAACGGCTAAAATAGCGGCTAAAAGATCTTGTAAAATTGGTGCTTTAGAAAGTGTATTACCGTATTTCTTCGAATAGAAGACCGGGTAAAGAGTATCATCGCGTACTCCTGCGTAGCAGCCCTTTTTAAAATTTCTTTTCTGCATAAAAGCTTTCAATCAAGTGCTATAGAGCTGGAAAATGGCTCAGATATCTGTTAGCTCATGTGGTATTTTTTGAGTCATTTTCCAGCCCTATAGCACTTCATTGAAAGCTTTTATGCAGAAAAGAAATTTTAAAAAGGGCTGCTACGCAGGAGTACGCGATGATACTCTTTACCCCGTCTTCTATTCGAACAAATACGGTACTCGAGTAAAAACACTTTACTTTTGAGAGGTATATTTACAAAGTGGATCATGAACTGCTAACCATTTAACCCCATTAACTAGTGTGTGACTCTGCTTTTCATCGTTCCGTTTCCAGTTTTGTCGATATGGCTTGGAAAAACCGGCTACACAACTCAACTACTCGAATATATTCATCGGGTGGAGATCAGGGGGGAAAGAGGGAAAAGAATGGCATCTTTCCTTTTTCTCTTTTCTCTTTTCCCCTCGATCAACCCAACCACCGATACGTGCCACTATTTGAATATATGAGAAAGGAAAAGAAAAAGAAAAAAAAAAGAAGAGAATCCAAACGAGAATCTGCAAAAAGAAAAGAGATGTCATGCTGGGAAAAGAGAAAAAGATCTGAGGGGAATCGCCGCACAGGCAGCCGATTCAACCAGACCTCAAGCTCTGCAACTATGCAAATTTGTTATCAGATTCAAATCTTTGCACTTGTTCTTCGAATTGTTATTATGATAATGTTAAGCAGTGCTACCGTACCCGATTTGCTTGTCTTAATCTGTCTATTTTGCTAGCAAGTTACTAATTTATTGATTTTAAATTGTACCCGGTTAATTGAAAAGGATTCATTTTAATATGATAACATTCATTTTCAAGTATTAATTAGCTAATTGTAAGTAAGAAAGTAATTGTATCAGTACGTCAAAACCATTAAAATCCTGATCTCTTTTCATGAAATTTGATTAGTTTCAAGTTGAAAGAAATCGATTGAAAATGAATCAGTTCAATATTCCTCCAAGCAGCCATTTTCAAGTTCTAATCATCTACATTTCATCTACGCAGAATCAACTAACAAATTTAAGGCAAAAAATTTGAGCATAGTGACGCCCAGGATAGAATATTGTTTGATATTGTTCAGCAGCGCTACCGTACCCGATTTGCTAGTCTTAATCAATCTATTTTGCTAGCAAGTCGCTAATTTATTAATTTTAAATTGTTCACGGTTAATTGAAAAGGATTCATTTTCAAGTTTTAATTAGCTAATTGTAAGTAAAAA